GAATTAATGTAAAACCAATGCTAAGAACACTTGTCTTGTCTATTTCTGATGCTAATTTGAGTCTTGCTTCAAGACTTTGGACACCCCTCATCTACTCCACCAACATATCGCATTGTAGAGGAAGGAGGGGGGGGGGGGGGTGTAGTGATGGGGAACAAGGGCTCGTAGCTAGACTAACTGCTGATCAAAATTCATGATTTAAAATGAACAAATAAATTGACCTCTTAAAACCCACAGACAAATATATATTTAACAGAGTTTTCATTTGATTTCTAACAAATCCCAGTGTTATAACAACAAAACTCAGAAATCTGTCATAGCTTTTTCAAAATTTCAAATATTGAAGCTCAATATTTTCATTATAGCTTTTAGGAGCCCAAAATCTATGCTAATATATAGAAATAACAAAGCATGGGATTTAGTGCTTAGTTGGAATTACAATTCATGATATCACAATAATCCATTTTAACTTTCAGCAGATTTTGGAAAAATTAAAACTGGGAGTCCATTGTGATCCCATAAGACCCAGTTTGGCTAAAACCAACATGTTTTTGTATGGGGTAAAGGTGTCAAATGTGCAAGGTGTTTTATTGGTTAGGTGGATTATTATTAAAAATACATGGGATGTAAGTGGTGACAGAATCGTAATTGGATTTCATTGGTTTGGAATTACAGTTTATATGTGGATGTGATTTGCACAAGAACTTAATGACGATAACCTGTTGTTGAAGTAGGGGGAGGGGGGGGGGGTTGGATGGGGGGGGGGGGGGTTATGGATCTTTAACTTGAAGCAAGATTAGCTTAGATAATCATCTTGAATAAAATAACAAAAATATAAATAAGTAAAAATAGAAAGGGAATGAGACAACCTTGTCTTACTCCTTATTTTTTGATTCTACAAAATTGAATGATTGGTATTTGCCTCTATTCTTAAAAATGCTTTCAGTTTGATTTTTATAATTCTGACAAAAAGATTGTAATTAGAAAGTCAAAAGCTATAGTAGAAAGCAATTATAAATACATGTAATAACCAAAGCACCATTACTAAAAAGAATAAAGTTGTTTTCACAAAAATTCTATTTTTAAAAACTCCAAGTTGGCTTTTTTCAATTTTTAAGTCTGACTTCAATGTTTATAAAATGTGCTGTGTTTTATTACAGTGTGTTATGTCTAATTTTAAATCTGTGAAAAATCATGAGAATGTCAGAACAAGCTGCTGTTTTAGGAAGTAAAATAGAAAACAAGAACAAAGAAGTGGGTGTCCGATTACAAGTACCCTTTTCACTAGCGGATCTAGAAGTTAACAAGGGGAGGGCCCTCATTTAAAATCTTAAAAAAGATTTCCGCCCAGATTTCGCAAAAAGGCCCATTTTTCATAATTCGGTCCAAAAAGGCCCCAAATTTTTCTGGGCCTTATCAAGCAGCGGATGGGGAGGGCCCTTAATCCACCAGTGCTTTTCTAAGTTTGATTTGGCTTCTTGAACAGGTCTCTATCTGTACTCTTAGAGATAATACTTACTGCTTATATCTTGAGCTAAACAATCAGATTTTCTGTCACAAAACTGTATGCTTTCATAAGTAGCTCCTCTTTTTTTTATTGAAACTCTTGTCAAAGGGCAGGACAGCTACTTTTGGGATGATTAAGACAACAACAACAAAACTATGCGTGTCTGTCAGAGTTGAGTATCTTCTATCTTGTATGTCCTAGGGTAATTTAGAATTGTGACTTGCACTTAAGGTCAGTAAGTGTGGTATTAATGAGTCATTATTGGTCACCCTAACTTTGTAATTTATACCCTTAGTGTTACATTTGCTTTACTAGAGTACCCTATGAGTGTAGACAGTGGCCTTTCTCGGGCGGGGAGGGGGGGGCAGGGTCCCAGACACATCCATAATACAGGACCAAAGCTAAAAGATTTTCAGCGCAAACTTTGCCATTACCCACATTAACTGGGCAACATAGAGAAATATATATTTCTCTTTTAGGGAAATAAAACTGGAAAGGGCACATTGTTAAACAATACCAGACTTTAGATTAATCAGTTTTGTAACAAATGTTTAATTTGTTTCATCTACTGCTGCCTTTTTGGAAGGTGTGCTTCATTAAAATTTGAAACCAAATAGCAAAAGCTTATCTTAAATACAAATTCTTCCTCATGCTAATTTCATCTTTACCCTGTAAAACCTCTATGATTTCTTTAATTATCTTGCATTTCCATACAATTTAGAGTGTTGTCTATATCCCTGTTGACTTTATTTCTTGCAAATTCCACTCTTTTCCACTCTATTTTGCGTTTTAAAACATGGCCACTGTCATTTACTAAAGGGGCTGTAGGGCATATCTTAATTAGAGATCATGTAACAATGCTTTTTATAGCATGTGTTTGCCATTTATAGATGTATTTTGTGTGACCCTTACCCCTGAATAAATATCAGATTGGCCAGATTTTTTTAATGTGTTTTGATTTGAAGATCTGGCAAGGATAGGCTTTTAATGAAATAAGACATAATAAAATCCTACTCAAAATATTTCAGATCATTAATATATAGAAAGCATAGGATAAAGAGATCTCCCCATTATAGAACAAATGGGTGCTCCCCTTGTTGAAAAATTGAAAATGAAATACCCCACCCCTGTTGAAAATCTGCTTGCACCCCTGTATAATGAAATATAGAGATATTCTGACCAAGACAGGTAAAATTTGAATTGAGCAGAGGTCAAAAACATGAAAATGATATCAATAAGTAAGGCACTTTACTACAGGGATGATACAGGCCACTGAACACTCTGTCGTGCTGTATACTTGCCAAATCAAATGTCATCATGTTGATGGAGGGTACAATGATATAGACAAAACTACAAGCAACAGTGACATCTATAAGATGCCAGTATTTAACCTCCAGAGTGACATTATGGAAAAATGAAATACAATACATGTACTTTTCTAACTTATTCACAACATATTTGGACACGTTTTGTTAAAAATTCAGCTCGATTGAAAAGAAAACCACTAAAATACAGCATTATTCCTGAAACATATGGAACACCCTGTATTTAACCTCCAGAGGGACATTATGGAAAAATGAAATACAATACATGTATTTTGAAATGAAAATATACATTCCTGAAACTATCATCTCAACAACTCTTAACATGCTAGCGTGTCATATTTCCTTGTACTTGAAATTTTAAAGCTTTTACGATGTCAGTCATTACATGTGGTTTCTTTACATATTGAAGAAAAAGTGCTGCTGGGATCTGATATGACATTCACCATATGGGAGGATTTGAAATTATGGGTTCAATGGGGCATTCAAGAATGGGACTGAAATAGTTATTACTTCATTTTTTACTTCAGTGTGATATTTATTTGATTTTACAATTCGGAAATAAGAAATGATATTGTGAAATTGATAATATGAGGGGAAGGGACTGTAAAATCTTTAAAATAATTGGTAATTTAGATAAGAGTTTTAAAGATACACCATTTAATTTCTGTTATCTCATTAAATCTGAGAAATCAAAATTTCCAATCAGATTTTGGTGTTATTATGGTCATTTGTGGGGATTATTCTGTGATTTAAGGTTCATGGATCAAGTTGCTCATTTTGATAAGACATTACTTTTATAGATTTTTACAGTCTTGAGGATCATAATTTTTGTACCAATTATAGCTAATTGTGTTCAGGCCCCCTCCCAGTTTTTTCTTTGAAAAATGTTCTTTTCACACACGCGTTTCACTTAGGTTGAACTACGTACATAGAAAACAAAAAAAATTAAATTTTACAAAGCCTGATTACTTTAGCAACAACCCTTACAAGTCTCAAAGCCTAAAAGACAGATGAAGCCCTCTTTTAATGAATCTAGCTATTGGAAATAGTAACTTTCTATATGTTGAACTTTTCACACCAAGAACAATATAGAAGGCAAAAATATGATAACGCCTTTGTTGCAAGATAATCCATAATTTGCTGTACCTATGTAAAAATATCATGCGGTCATGATTTAAAATGAGAAATAGAGTGAAAAAGAGTGGAATAAGCAAGAAATAAAGTATATAGACATATAAAGAACACTCTAAATTGTATAGAAATGCAAGAAAATTTTGTAGTTCATTGAGTGATAATAGAGAAATGGTGTAAAATAGGCATGAACCAAGAGAGAATTGAGAAATAGAGAGATCACATTGTTAATTAGAATCCATGATTTTGTATCTATAGTATAAAAGCAACTTGCATGTTAACAGTATGAAGTATTCATCTTAATTTGATATTTTCTAATTTTATATAGATTTTTCGGAGAGTAGGACAAAAGCATGAAAAGATGGATTACTTTAAACTGGCATTTTTACACATTTACATACAAAGATAATGGACATCCCATTGTCTTGGAAACACATTAATTTTGCAGATGTATTGGTTTTCGAGATATGCATGATGCATATGACAGTTGTACTTTTCCATTAATCTAGTTCCATCCCAATAAATCACTTTTAATTAGTACCCTATGATTGCACTTTGTACAAATTAAAAGATGGCAAATTGTTTAAAACAATGACAGAGAAATCCATTTGGATTTAATTTCCCATTGAGAATTGCATTGAGAATTTATAAAACCTTTTACAGAAACAAATGATCAGATAAAGATCGATGATGCACATTCGGATTATTTTGGGCAATATCTTGAGTATATGAATCACGTATTGTAGTGAAACCTGTCTATACTGAACATTACATCTTCGGATTGTTTTTGGGTATTTTTATTTTAACATGGAAGACTTGCAGATACAAAAACAAAAAAAATTAGACAGAAAAAGTGTTCACATTGGGAGGTGTTCAGATAAGAGTGGTGTTCAGATATGCATGTTTAGCTGTATTTATTTTTGTAGATTTTTTATTTCTTGGATACTATGGCAGAGTTCTTCCAAGCCATGTATAACCTGAACAATTTTTGTGTATAATCGTTAATATTCCTAACTTTGAACTTTCTATATTTTCAGATGAACACGAACTGCCACACAAGTTCGTCCTGCGACCTAAGGATGATGAAAGGCCAATTTTCTCTAACTTACCCCGCCCAATGTTTATTGCAATTCGTGTAAACACCCAGCCATATACCCAGCTTTACCATCTGAAGAGTAGAGATGCTGCCCTGGGGGGAAAGATCTTCTATAAGATAGAATCAGGTATTGTCCATGATGTGTAATGTGTAAACCCCATATATCATCCTTGATGTGTAATATGTAAACCCCGATGATATTCAATATTAAGTTTAGTTCCCCTATGTGTGATTAAAATCCCCAAGTTCTCCTTGCCGGTAAAGGGAACATTTCAAATGGTTCCTCAATATGTATGTAATGTTAGGGTAGAATATATTGTATGTAAAAAGTATAATGTCTTCTGTTCTGTACTTAAGGTGCTGATGGTCGGTTCATGGTGGAAAATGACACGGGTATTGTGCGAACTCTTGGTGAGAGTGCATTTGACGCTGATGCTAGCTACGTCGTTGCACTCTCAGCTGAGGACCATGGGGCCCCTGGAATGAAAAGAGCAACCCCCATACAAACCCTCACTGTTTTTGTGGGTGATGCTGCTCCAAGGTTTGACATGGATCGTTTCACTGTTGATCTGCACGAGAATACACCAACAAGTGAAGTGTAAGTTATTGGCTCTCATGAAATCATTCACTCGCCCATCTGTCTATTGCCTTGCATCCTTCCATCCATTCATCAAAAAATTCCGAAATAATTGGATTAGTTAATTTATTTTTTATCGAATAATTGTTTTAAAGAGAAACTATAGAGCATTTGTATAAAGAATGTCAATAATGAAAGTATTTACCTTTTGGATTCCTTAGTGTGTAACGAAGAAATATAATACAAATTGATAAAACAGAAACCCTAAAAGATTAAATTGTAAAGTAATTTGAAGATTTGAAGAACAAAAATGTGAAACAAAAATGTGAAGTACAGAAATGTGAAACAGTAATCTTGTCTTGTTTTCAGTATCGCCAACATAACTGGGATGTCATACGACGGCCAACAGCTAAGGTACACTATGAGCCCACTAGAGGGCACTCCAAACGACCTGTTCAGGTTGAACCCTGACAACGGAGAACTGAAAGCATTGCAACAGCTGGATTACGAGAAGGACCAGCAGGTGTATAAGTTCAAGGCCATCGCTACGGAGCTTGTCAGTAGTGGAACAGCACGAACTGCAGAATCCTATGTAAGTAAATGTTCAACTGGTTCATACGTGTTAATGTATGTAGGAGTTTCAGGATGGATAATAGTTTTATAGCAATTAATTTAAAATTAAATTTGTCATTAGAAATGATGATATGAGATATAAGGGAACAACCAGGCCTAGATAGTAAAACCTGTCTAAGTGGAACCCTTTGGTACCTCTAAAAAAGTATTCCACTTGGGAGGTGTTCCACTTCATTTAACATTAAATCAGTAGGTCTTAGGACTCTGGAGTGCTCCACTTACAGAGGTGTTCTGCATCTACATGGGTTCCTCTTTACAGGTTTCACATGGACTAACATTTATTGCCTTGTACCAAAATAGCTACATTTAGTCAAATTTTTCGGTCTAAATAGCAAATGAATCCTTTGGGAGCGAGCCCTGGGTTGTGCATAACTACCCTAAGACTTTATTGTTTCTCTTTTTATTTTACTTAGGTTGATGTATTCCTCCATGATTTGAATGACAACGCTCCCTATTTTCAACTGGCCTATCACGTCGTGCGAGACTTCAATGAGGAGAATACTCAGAATACAGAAGTCACGAAAGGCAAGTTGACACCATAACAACCACGATATACTCCATTTCTCCATAGCAACCATTTAAGCATCAAAACTCTTAAAGCATTTGATTATATTTTGGGTGAAATTTTGCATTCATATCTGTTTCTTAAATCATATTTTTGCTTAAATCATATGTGTATACTAATGATGTAATAATTATTGTATCGCAAATTATTGTATAACACCTATTAAAACACATTGTTTTGCATTTATAGTTTCTGCCGTTGATATCGACAGTGGACTTAATGGAGAGCTAGTTTATTCAATAATTTCCGAAACCGAAAGTGAATTTTTCAATATTGAGACGTCCGACAATGTGGCTACAATCACACTCAAAAAGTGAGTACTAAAATTTATTGTCTCTTCTTTCTAAAGTGACGGGATTTCTCATAAAAATTGATCCTGACACCTAAGACAAGATTTTGTGTCATAGAGTTTTTCACTAAATTGCTCGCCCATTTTGTATTTATTAGGGACTCATTTGTATTTATTAGGTGACTCATTTTATATTTATTAGGGACTCATTTTTGTATTTATTATGGACTCATTTTGTATTTATTAGGCGACTCATTTTGTATTTATTATGGACTCATTTTGTATTTATTAGGTGACACATTTTGTATTTATTAGGGACTCATTTTTTTGTATTTATTATGGACTCATTTTGTATTTATTAGGGACTCTTATTATGGACTCATTTTGTATTTATTAGGGACTCATTTTATATTTATTAGGGACTCATTTTGTATTTATTAGGGATTCATTTTGTATTTATTAGCCACCCATTTGTATTTACTACTTCCATTGAATAATTGAATAAATTAAATTTTGTTTTCAACTATTCCAGGAGTTTGGATTATGAGATAGCACATACTCACAGGATGACTGTTCAGGCCACTGATAAAGGTGTGCCACCAAGATCTGGCACAACAGAGGTTAGTTTTTATGTCACCACCAGAAGTAGTGACATATTGTTATAGTTTCTTATTTTTTGTGGCAGGGGTCAGTAGCCAGGATTAGCCATGGGGGGTTCACTTTTTGAAAATTCCTGAGGGATTCACTTTTGACAATTTTGGTCCTAAAAGGGCCAAAATCACTTAAAAAGTGCGCAGAATGGTGAAAAACTGCATGATTTTGAAAGAGGGGGGGGGGGGGGGTTCGAACCACCCCCTGGCTGAGGGCCTGGTGCCTGTAACATATGTAACAAATGGAAGGTGATGACATTTTGCCTTGTCTGATATTGTAAGCATGCGTGTCAATTTTTCACTTTTGTATTTAATTTTTTTTCTTTTATAAACAGATACTTATCAATTAATTGATGAGTGAAGGAATGATCGATCAATTTATCTTTGTTTATCTATTTATCTTTCTGGCCATACCACAAGCACAAGATATTTAATGTCAAATGTGTTCAAACACTTGTTATTGTCAACTTTTGGTGTTGCTGATAATTAATACCCTGAATTTTTCATTAGATGAATCAACATAATATAGTATAATGATGATACTTAAGTACTATTATGTCACTAAAAGTGATAACATATTGTGATGGTGTTTCGCATCCAGCATCCAAATTTTTTTTTTAAATTCTAGGTGATCATACACGTGGATAACAGGAATGACAATGCACCCGTATTCCTCCCAGCCAATCAGGACATTGAACTATATGAGAAGTCACCTGCGGGAACAATTGCAACGGTGGCTCAAGCTTACGACCCTGATGGTGATGATGTTACATATTCATTCATCTGTAAGTATGAAAAGTGTACTACCCTTTTAAAGAAAGTAACTTCATCCTTACTCTTAATTTTTCAATAGTCTTGATTAATTCACTGGATTCACACCTATCATCCTTGCTGCAAGGGTATTTTACAAGTATATTATTATACCCTTGCTTCTCTCTATTCAATTGTTGGGCTTGAGCAAACAAACTGGACATTAAACAATATTAGCCTACACCACATACCCTAAGAGAACTACTACACACAGTGTACAAGGGTAATTAAAATCCTGTTGAACGGTCCACAAAGCTGTCTTTCTACTATAGCAGTACGCCCATACAGATCTTATGACTTAAAAGTTTGTAATCTGTAACAAAAAATCATAGGATTTATACAAATATTAGCTTAAGAATAAAACATCATCCGTAGAACATTCTATGGTATTGGCAACTAGAGGATCGTGGGTAAAATAAAGGTATCCTGTCACATCTGGATATCTGGATTGCTGAATGAAGAACAATATCAAAAGATGTCTGAAGCATATTTTTCATATATTTTCATTCATATATTTTTCGTATTTTTTTCATTTATATATTTTCATATTTTTTCATATATTTTCAGCTGGAAGTCTAACATCTGGACCATTTGAGATAAATGCCACGACTGGCGTTATTAAAGTCAGGGAAGATTTATCAGCCACTACGAGTGAATACACTTTGCAAGTAGTTGCTAGGGACAACGGAGCTTGTTGCCAGGGGAGCAATTCTGGACAACAAACAACATCAACAATAAAAGTGACCTTATTTGGGCTTAACACACCACCGACATTTAGATCATGCCAAGATCAGACGATTCTGGAAAATAGAGATGCAGATACTTTTGTTGTGAAGGTAGAAATTTTTATGTTTTAAATACAGCTGACTGGCATAAATGCCCTTGCATACATATTCTTGGTCGATATATGAATTCGAAATTTGAAGATTCTGTGTAAATTAATGTTATATTATGACGCTATCTCTAACAATTTTTCGGGAACTGGTCCAAATGAATTTTGTTTGCCTTGTTATTGGTTAACTACAAAACTAGATCTGTAATTTTATGACATTTCACCTACACCAAGATTTATAGAAGGTGTTAAAAAAATTTATGTTTCTGTTATTGAAGTAAAAAACTTTGGAGGGTGGATATTTAAGATATTCTCTATTTTCTACAGCTTGAAGCAGTGGATCCAGATGGCGGACAAAACGGGCAAACAAGTTTCAACATCCGCTATACTTCCTCCGAGGAAAAACTGTTTTCGATCAATGAAGATGGTGAAGTGAAATCTCTGAAACCGTTTAACCACGAGGCATCTGAAAATAAATTTGGGGTGACCGTTGAGGTTTCTGATAGTGGGTCGCCTCCGCTGAGTTCCGTTTGTTTCTTCTTTGTGCAAGTTACTGATGAAAATGACGAGGCTCCTATTTTTGACGCAACAAGTTACCAAACAACAATCAGGTAATTTTTTACGCAAGAGACTAGGGTCAAAATCTAATTAGGTTTAGGGCAGGTTGACTAAATAACAAGGGGGTAGTTTTGAATTTTTAGATGTATTATGTTTTATAGTGTTACTACGATAACAGGGAAACTGCATATCTGATTTACATTTCAGTTTTAAAGGGTTCACAAGATAAACTCCTTCAAAATTCATATTTTGTGAATATGATGAAATTCCATGTTGAAAAATTAAGGCATACTGCGTACCGTAATATATGAAAAAAATTATGATACATAGTAAACATTAGGAATATTGAATTGAATAAAACCCATATTTAATCCCTACTAGCAAATAAGTTTAATATATTTTACTTGTAGGTCAAGCACAGCCACAAATACTCGTATAATAAGGACCCTTGCGACAGATAGTGATTCTGGACTGAATGGAGAAGTTCTTTATTCGTTGACAACAAACCCAAATAATTATTTCAGGATTGATGAAAGTAGTGGATGGATAAGCTTAAATAGTCCTTTGCCTTCGGTAAGTCTCGCTTTGTCTTTTTTCTTTTTTTGTCTTTTTAATCATTGCCCTGTATTTCCCCCAGTCCCAGCCCAGCTCAGACCCCTCCCCTCTTTTCACCCTCTTCAACTTTTTCCCCACTAGACTAGAGTGCTTATAATGCCAAAATGGTGATTAGCACTCGAACATGCTCTTGTATTTACTATATTACCCCATGTACATCTATTTTATATAACTAAATAAATAAAATCAAAAAGAATCATTGATATCTAGGCTAACATTCTACTCAATGATTTATCTCTCACAAAACCTGTCAATGTGTCCATGTCTTCTGATATAAAAATAATACATAGATGATATTGTGCCCTCAAATCTGGTTTCCGATTGGGCTAGGCACAGTATTTTCTTCTTTGTGTGGTATTATCCTTTTGAAATTCTTCATATGATATGTACACCCAGTTTTCTGGAGCAGGTTCACCATTGGCCTAGTATATTTTCCAACATGAATGTACACATTTAGCTAAATGTACCAGTCTACATTCTGTGCAAAGCTGGCCTGGTTTGAGTGAAAACTCTCAATTTTAGAGACATTTTCCATGAACTTATTGATTGACCTGGTATTTCATGGCATGTTTTGTTTGTTTTGTTTCTAGGGTGACAGCCCAGACCTTGCTTTAGTTGTTGAGGCCAGAGATAGGGGGAGCCCTGTAAAAACCAGTCGGCCAGTGGATGTAACTATTCGGATTAGAAACTCAGGGGTGTTTCCTCCTGTATGGGCAGAGTAAGTTCAGGTTTTTAGATGAAAAAGTGGTTACCACAGGCCTGTAGCCAGGGGGGGTTCGATGGGTTCGAGTTTGACCCCCCCCCCTGGCTAAATAATCTTTCAAAATCATGCAGTTTTTCACCATTCTGAGCACTTTTTAAGTGATTTTGACCATTTTTGGATCAAAATTGTCACAAGTGAACCCCCTCTGGAATTTTTCAAATAGTGAACCCCCCTTAGCAAATCCTGACTACGGGCCTGTACCATATTCTCTCTAATGAGCGCACATTTACAATGAGTGCCAATGTGACTTTTATGTTGAACATGGTCTCAAAAAACATAAAGTTTAATGTATTATTTTTGATTATTTACACAATAAAATATCCATTGATTATTATATCAAATGCTGAGAAAGAAATACAGGAGCTGTAGAGTATGTAAAACTTATTAGTGATAACAACTAAATAGACAATCGACGATATTTTTTCAATATTTTTGGTAAGTGCGCTTATTGGAATCTCTCAATATTTTATCCTCATTCGAGAGAATATGGCCATTATGTTTTAATAATGCTTTTTTAAAGTAGAAAAATTTTCATAAATGATTTTCTATATTATAAAAAATGCAAAAATGAATATAAGAATAAATAACAAATTAATAAAAAAACTGTTTTTGACAAGAAATGCATATCTTCTTTTTCAGGAATTACGATCTTGGGGCACCCATTAAAATTCCGGAAAATATCCCACAAGACACTATTATAAAGGAAATGAATGCCAACCCATCAGGCTTCATGGGAGAATTGACGTTCTCTAAACCTAACGGTCTCACGCCAGCTATATCTAAAAGTACTCAAGATTTTGATTTCCTTCAAATCGATGGAGTAAATGGGGTGAACATCACAACATTTGAAAATCTTGAATACACGGACGTCAACAAGTACATAATAAAGATGAGGGTTGCGGTAAGGATTTTATTTTATATCATTTTTTTGTATTGCAAGATTCAGATCCTCAAAGTGATTTACTTTCAAACAGAGGAAATGTTTATAGCATGCATCGTAAATATATCAACATTGCTGGTTTGTGTTCCATTATGACCACTCATCGACCAATCATAGTCCAGTATTTCAACTGATGTACTAATAATTTATATTATAGAACAAAGTTGCCGGGACAGTGCAAATGTTCACAGATGCATACCTTAATGTTGAGCTTGAAGATGTCAATGACGAAATTCCTGTCTTCTTGAGTCTCGATGAATCTGGTCGCTACCCTGGTTTTGTTGCAGAGACTGCACCCACGGGAACGACTGTGTTACGTGTACGTGCTGATGACAGTGATGGAACCAGTCCTAATAATAAGGCAAGTTTTTCATTTTATTTTTACCACTCCTTGAAATGGTGCTATTTTATTTTTTTAATGTACTGATAGGTATGCATATGGGCTCATGTGTCTAACTGTGCATGCAAGCATCTGTCTGGTTGGGTGCAAGCATCTGTCTGGTTGGGTGCAAGCATCTGTCTGGTTGGGTGCTCAGCGGGTGCTACACTTATCAAATCATGTCATCAAAATTCTAGGAAAACTGCTTACCTTTTCAACTTCAATTTAGCTGTGTAAATTAAAGTTGCTATTCTGTTCTTCAGAGTATGATATTTATTACAGTGTGTCTTGTTAACCATTGCTCTAACTATGTCCAATATTTGGAAGGAATTTCTTGAAAAATCCAATTAATCTTTATTAGCATTTGTTACAACAGGTTACATTTCTTATGGCAGAATATATTTCTTATGATGGGTTATATTTCTTATGACGGGTTATATTTCTTATGACGGGTTAGATTTCTTATGACGGGTTAGATTTCTTATGACAATGACAGGTTACATTTCTTATGACAGGTTACCTATAGCATAGTTGAAGAGTTAGATTTGACGGGTTAGATTTCTTATGACAATGACAGGTTACATTTCTTATGACAGGTTACCTATAGCATAGTTGAAGAGGATGACTGGAACGCTTTTCAAATAGATGAAGACACAGGTTATATTACAACAAAGCAGACATTTGGAGCAAGTCAAAAAGATGATTTCTTTATCACCGTAGAAGCAGAAGATGGCGCTCAATCAGCCAGGAAAAATGTTGTTGGACCAAATAAAGGTTGAATTTAAATTACAACTGAATTTTGATATTATTTTTTGGGACATGTATCTATATGTTGTATCGATAATAGAAATTATATACATGTAATTAGACATTTATAACATGTTATTTCTGGAAAAATCTCAAACCTCCCTTCAAGATTTCTTGAAAATTTACCAATATTTTGGGGCAAATGTTTTTTGATACTGTCATGAATTGTAGATATATTAATTCTTTGTTTCAGTTACTGTACCAGTCCATATCAAGATTGTGAGACTGGATAGCGCCCAACCAATTTTCAACAAAACACGCAGTTTCACTGTGCCCGAGGACCAAGCTGTTGGTGACAAGATTGGGACTTTAACAGCATCTCAGTCTGAAAGTGAGTGCCATCTTTTATCAGTTTTCTGTATTATACCCCAAGGTATCACAATGCTTAATTATTTATAGATAACTTGGAGACATTCTGTGATATTGTGTAAAATGTTTTATGATAAACCTTCCTAAACCTGAATGGGATAAGAAATCTAAGACAAAACAATATAAATTAGGCAATTAATTATCATTATTATTATTATATTGTCGTGATTTCAAAATTTGAAATTATTTACGTTTTAGGAGTTAATGGCAGAGGTAAATTGTTATTGCGAACTGTACATAAAAGTTCCTTTGGGGCACAACAATAATTGTATCATCATTAATAGCGCAATGGCCCTTTTTTTCCAAACAAGTGTGACACAATACTAAATTATAAAAACCTAATTCATTGGACAATTCCTAATACTAAAGGTCAAAGTGTCTCTAAAATACCCAAATCTTTTAAAATTCTAACAATCTGCAACTTGCACCCATCGACAGACTGACTTTGATGTAAAACTAATGTCCTGATAATACTAAAGCCAAACCAAATTATTTTTGTTTTTCTCAGCCCAAAATGATACAAAATGATATAATGTCTTACTCAACCAGATTTAGATATATCAGCAAGGATATGCACCAATCCATCTATGATAACACGCCGGCCTTATGTTTAAATAACCAATAGCAACTGAATGTCGATATCAATATTTTCAATGTTGGTAATGGTGGGTATAATCGTGGGATAAACATGGATTATGAATTTCTTAAATTTATTCTCCCATTTTTCTTGTTTTGTTAGGCTACCTGATGTCAAATTTTGTTCTTTGCTTTTAATATGGACCTTTTTTCTCCTGGAGACTTCATAATTACATATATGTTGTAACAATAGACAATTTGCTATACAGATGAAGAAAAAGATGGCAATAGTAGTTTTGGCCAGGCTAGAATACCATTTCATAACATTGCAAAAATTTACACAAATCTCCAGACCTCATTAAAAATGAAACAAGATTATAAAGCTATATAGCAAGGCTCTATTATGTTGCATTTACATGCATACTATGTATTCTTGTATAGAATATTTAAGTTTATTATATTATATAGCAAAAATACTGTGATATATACTAATTTTATGCACTGTTTAATTCATTATGCACTCTTTATACGTAGGTGGAGGTAAACACAACACAGAAGGTGCTTCTAGCTCAAGCCAAACCTCTAGCAATATTAGCCAAACCTCTAGCAATATTAGCCAAAACTCTAGCAGCGTTAGCCGAAACCCTAGCAATATTAGCCAAACCTCTAGCAAAATTAGCCAAAACTCTTGCAATATTAGCCAAAACCCTAGCAATATTAGCCAAAACTCTAGCAACATTAGCCAAACCTCTAGCAAAATTAGCCAAAACTCTAGCAATATTAGCCAAACCTCTAGCAATATTAGCCAAAACTCTAGCAGCATTAGCCAAAACCCTAGCAATATTAGCCAAAGCTTTAGCCACATTAGTGAAGTTGCTAGCATTAGCAATCAAACCTTTAATGAATCTAGTCAAAATGTCAGTTATATTAGCAATCCTATTATCAATAATAGCAACCCTGTTAGCAGTATTAGCAATACTAGTGAGACTGTCCTTTTTGATGCTAGAGATTCTCGTAGCTAATTAGATAATAGCGCTGTGTCTGCCAGAGAAACTAAAATTAGGCAATATGGAAGAGGCACTCACGGCTGAAAAATTCTGATTTTCGTATTTGTTGCTGAATAATCCAGATTTCTTTATATGATTTAGATGTATGTGTAACAATTTGTAATTCTTTTCCATATAATCACTCTTTGTGATAGTATGGTACATTGTAAAATATCTCCTCACTAATAAGCTATTACAAACAGAAAAATATTGTGAAAAATATTTTATCTTTGATGTGTTTTTACAAAGGTGGCCCCCTCCTCTTGATGTGACTACTGAATAGTGTGGTCTATGTATCAATGATTTTTGTAGTAATGTCAAAAATAAAAAATAAAAAAAATAATTATATGAAGTCTTTGGGCAATTTTGAATAAGTATTGCTATCAGACTTTGAAATAAATAACAACAATAAAAAGGTTGTACAGATTTGGATATCTTACAGTGTACTTTCTATTCTAATTCCTTTTTTAATTTCAGTATTTTTACTCAGTAACCTCATCAATTTATGTAGAATTGATTTTCTTTCCTAGGATTCTGTGTGGTGACCTTTAGAAAAAAACTTTTAGTACCTCGGACATTAATTTCCAAGTCGCTGTCTGGGGTACTATGTTTTGTAGTTTTTGATAAGGTCATTTCTACTATTGTGTTGTATATAATTCTTTTAATTTTTTGTTTCTATGTAGCTAGGTTGCAGTAATCTGTTGCTAGGTTACAGTCATTTGCTGCTACCTGTTTGCTTCAGTTAATCTTGAATAGATTCCCTTATGATTCTAGATTTCGCTGAAATGATATTTGTGTTGATTTATAACTTAATATACTCTTATATTTACTGGATTTTGTGTTGGATCTAAGTTATTTTAAAAATAATTCAAGAAATAACATTGATCCTACAATACAAATGTAGTTTCCGTGGTATTAAGACTAAATATTGGATAAAATAAAAGGAAGAAATGATTTATTATTGAAATAAGATTTCCATGGTAACAGGTTATGTTATCTGACTGATTTGAATGAATTGTTTTGATTGGCAAATGTGCAGTCATCATTCAAATTTTCATTCAATTCAGAACCTACTTCATTTTTACACATATTATTTATACAGAATTTTGATGTTGTAGAATTTTGATATTAAGCCAAAAAAACATATTAGTAGTGCTGTATGATCTTGATGTGTAACTTTTTTATGGAATTGCTCATAATCTGGTCTTTTGCAGAATCTGAACGCAAAGTTCGCTACTTCATCCTTGGTGGTAATACCCAGAATACATTTGGAGTGAACATGACAAGTGGAGACATCTTTCTTCTGCGTGAACTTGACTACAAGACAAATCCTGTGAGTATGAATTAAGGTTTAATAAAGAGGGGTGAATATCCCAGAATTCATAACTGAACCTGTATCCATATAAATATAAGGGTTTACCTTGTTAGTGATGAGTTCATCTATAAACTCTGGGTATTTTCTTTCCTTGGGTAAATATACGGCATGTGAAAGTTAACTATCCATTTTAGAATTTAGACTTAAAATACTTCAAAATTACAAATACCGCAAACCATGATATGTTTGATAGGCAATCTATGCTACCAGTATGGCAATTGGTGGCTGAAATGTATTAAACTTGAAAAAGGTTTTTTATTTGAAAAATAGAAAAAAGTCTATCTAACATCAAGTAAAATATGAGGCAAATGTATGTGGAAAATATTTGAGGTAAATGATATGCGGTAAATATACAAGGTGAATATATATGAGGCAAATAATATATATATGAGGCAAATGAATAAAGAACAAATGAGGCAAATACATGGAGTAAGTATATAAGTTATCAATAAGAGGCAAAAATATGAGGCAAATGTACATTTATTTTCAGGCATACACACTAACTTACATGGCGTTCAATGGAATTTCCCAAAAAGAGACAGTAATCGAGATCAGCGTCACTGACAGGAATAAGAATGCCCCCGTGTTTAATCCAGTATTGTATACTCCCAACGTCATGGAGAACACACAAGTGGACACGTCACTCTTCATGGTAAGTATTTTTACGTTTGTGGTCTCGACAGCCATATATAATGGCTCATAAAGGTGTCGTGAACACAAATTGGATAATTAATTATTGTTATGTTTTTTGTTTTGATAAAACATAAAATTAATGGAATAACAAATAAAATGTTAATACCTTTCGTTATTTTCAATAGCGTTACCTCCTTTTAGAAACTGCCTTTTAAAAGATATGTTGGAATCAATACCATTAATCTGGACATTGCGATCGCGATATATAACAAAGAAACTTCTACTTTGCAGGCTTCAGCAACTTATCCCGAAGACAATAATCAACCAATCAGCTTCAACACGGCAGGATACTATGCTTCAGATTCAAACAGCGTAAACAGGAAGTTCCGCATTGATCCAAACACGGGTGCCTTCAATATGCTATCTCCAGTTGATCGAGATGCCAAATATGGACATTCTTATTATTTGGTGAATTTACTGGCAACTGTATCGGCTCAACAGTCTATTGAGAATATGGGAATATCCGTTGCTAACGTTACAGTTGGGGATCAGAATGATAATGCACCATTGTTCGACAGTTGTTGTCTCCATGGTTACGTCCAAGAAAATTCGCCCAGCGGTGAGTTATTTTAGTTCTTGGTCTTTCTCCTCGCATTGGATGAAAGGAACGCAGAATAGAGTGAGGAATTTTTTTTTTGATACAGGAAGGTATGATTTATTGTTTCAAAAAGGGGTGATTTGTAGTTACAGTAGGAATGTTAAGTGTAGTCGAAAGGAACTTTTATTTTGACAAAAATTAATTTTCATTGTTACAGAAAGGATTTTTTATTGTAAGAGGGAGGAATATCATTGTTACAGAATGGATTTTTTTAGTTACAGAAAGGAACTTTTATTGTACAAAAAGGAGTTTTTTGTTACACCTGTTGTAAATGATTTGTTGTTACAGAACGCAGTGTACTAACTGTCAAGACCATTGATCCAGATGCAGAAGACAACAGTCGCATCATTTATTCATTAGTAGATGGCGCTGACACACAGGCTCCTGATGGGCGCCCCCTATTCAAAATCAATCCTACTACAGGCTTGATCGCAACAGCTATTGACACCCAAAATACTGAGTTACTTGACCGTGAAAGTGATGATAAAGAGTATAATGTAGTAGTTGTCGCTACTGACCAAGGAACTCCACAACTAAGTGGTAAATCCTCAAATATGCTTTTCTACAACTTTAACTATCAAGTATTTATTTGATTTGTAGGAGATAATTTCTAGAAATCCAAGCTCTCTTGAAAGTCTATGATAAATTGAAATGTCATTTCAGATAATCAAATATTTTTTTCTACTAAATTGATGTTGCTAAAAAGTACACTAAATATCTATTTTTTAAGTATTTTCTTATTTTCTCTTTTAAGTTGGTGAATTTTTCTTGGTTGTTTCCTTATTGCTATTGATATTTAATTTGTTATTTTGTTCGATTTCAGCGATGGTTGTAACCTAATTAATATTGAATCTGTGTTATTTTGTTCGATTTCAGCGATGGTTGTAACCTAATAAATATTAAATCTGTGTTATTGTGTTCGATTTCAGCAACAGCTGTGGCTACTATTACTCTCACTGATGCAAACGATAACCAGCCTGAGTTTACAGCGAGCCAGTACGGCACAAATATGCCAGAGGAAATCCCAATCGGTGGCAGCGTGCTTGATGTTGACATAATGGACAAAGATATCGATATAAATGCTGAATACGATTTGACGCTATCAGGCCCAAATAACGATTACTTTTACTTTGATAAACTGTATGACGCATCAGTTGGTGTACTGAAGATTCAAAAGGTTTGTTACTATTTTTTAAGTTTGTTCAAATATTTTATGAATCTTTGATGATTTTGAGTAATTTTTTATCAAAATGTTTGTCTTTGCATTGCAATGAAATGGAATTGAATTGCATTTTCTCCCAGTCATTGCTTTATTACTGTCTTTTCTGTAATTGGATTATTATTTTCTACCACATTATTGCATTACATTTTACACCACATTATTGCTTTACATTTTACACCACATTATTACATTCAATTTTCCACCACATTATTGCATTACATTTTCCACCACATTATTGCATAACATTTTCGCCACATTATTGCATTACATTTTCTACCACATTATTGCATTACATTTTCCACCACATTATTGCATTACATTTTCCACCACATTATTGCATCACATTTTCCACCACATTATTGCATTACATTTTCCACCACATTATTGCATTACATTTTCCACCACATTATTGCATTTCATTTTCCACCACATTATTGCAATTCATTTTCCACCACATTATTGCATTTCATTTTCCACCACATTATTGCATTACATTTTCCACCACATTATTGCATTACATTTTCCACCACATTATTGCATCACATTTTCCACCACATTATTGCATTACATTTTCCACCACATTATTGCATTACATTTTCCACCACATTATTGCATTTCATTTTCCACCACATTATTGCAATTCATTTTCCACCACATTATTGCATTTCATTTTCCACCACATTATTGCATTACATTTTCCACCACATTATTGCATTACATTTTCCACCACATTATTGCATCACATTTTCCACCACATTATTGCATTTCATTTTCCACAACATTATTGCATTACATTTTCCACCATGTTATTGCATTACATTTTCCACCACATTATTGCATTACATTTTCCGCCACATTATTGCATTACATTTTCAACCACATTATTGCATTACATTTTCCGCCACATTATTGCATTACATTTTCAACCACATTATTGCATTACATTTTCAACCACATTATTGCATTACATTTTCCACCACATTATTGCCTTATATTCCTTGCCATGTTATTTCACATGTAATATTGCATTACATTTTTTACAGAGGGTAGATTATGAGACATCTCCTAGATCATTTGACTTGACTGCCACTGTACGTGATACACTTGGCCGCACAGATACTGCAAGAATAGTTATCAACGTCACTGCTGTAAATGAAGGTCCAGTTGTGACCCCTAGGTGTGTATTCAGGACTCTATATGGCACTGCTTATGAAACAGTGCTGGACAGTGCTAAAACAGTACTGTACATTGCTGTTTTCTGAAACAGTACTGTAAAGCGCTGTAAAAACAGTACTTAACACTGTTCAAAACAATGCTGTTAGAATAGCACTGTACACCACTATAAAATAACAAAAAGTGAAATATCTTTTCTCACACTGGACAGATGATATTTATGGTGGTCGCCGGGTTGGCCTAGTGGTTAAGGCATTGGTCTGAAAAGCAGGAAGTCTGGCTACAAGCTGAAAAGTAGAGGTCTTGGGTTCAAACCCAGGTCCCAGCACTTCTTGTGATTTGTCTTTGACCTATGACTGCTGACCTATACCGGCGATTACTAGAGTGCTAGTAACTCGATAAAAGGCTGGCGCTGGCTAGAATTGTCTATGGTTCTAGCCAGGATAAAGATACCAGTTCTTCAACTCGACAATGGGAAGAACTGCTCTACCTTAGTGACTAATATGTCATGATATGACATCTAAAGAGTCAATAAAAGATATAAAAATAGGATATCCTATGATTTTGAGGAATATCATTTTTATCGTTACGATATCCTCCGGATATTCATTTTGCCAATAAATATCAAATTTATTTTTTAATGTTATTATACATTTAGTATACTAAGTGTAGGATAATTTCTTTTACTGGACATCAGATACATAAGGGTAATATGTAAATTGATCCACTTAAACTAATGAATATTCAAATTTAAGGAAACCTTTACTATATCTGTCAGGTTATCTGGCCTGCCACCTGGTGGTGAAACTGGTAAATACCCACTGGCATCTGAATAATTAAAAGATACCATTAAAAATGGATTTCATTTTTCAGCTACATTGAGTTAGATGTTGAAGAGGACACAAAAGAGGGAGACACTGTCACTACATTTAGTGCCGTTGATGCCGAGGGCAACTCATTTAGGTAACATTTTCAAATAAATCTCTCAGGCAACACATTTAGGTAGCATTTCCAAAGAAATCTCTTCAGTTTTCAAAATGTACAAAAATATGACATGTGCTTCACAGTACCTGTGTAATATAACATCTTATTATCTCAAGGTACGAAATTTGTTTTCCTTTTAAATAGTCTTTATAAATAGTCTTTATTTCATGTGTTGCACAGTACATGGTATGGCTATAACAAATTATTAGACGCTGCAAATGTATGATTGAAATAAATGAACTTACAGAAAATTAAAAAAAAAAAATTAGATACATACAATTTTCATTCCAATAACCTTAATATAAAATCTCATTTGACTAGGTATGAAATTGATCGAGAGACTGACTGGCCACAACATTTTGCTGTGGAGTCTGTAGACCCAGCAACAGGGGCTGTGAAGATCAATAAGCTTCTAGACTATGACATGGATGGTGCTGGTCCCCATGTGGTCCATGTATTGGCCATAGATAATGGTAAGATTTATTACATATACATGAAATCAAAAACAACAAAAGTTAGGCCTTGCGTTTGATATGATAATGGTCAAATCCCAGAGGCCATAATTTTTGAAGCATTTCTATGTAACAGCTACATAGATTATGATATGATGTATTATACTTGTATTTTCTGATTAAGATAGGAAGAGTAGAGTGAGAAATTTTGCAAATTAGCATTGAGCTTTTACATAGGTCTTGTCCCAGAAATTTGGACATCAGTACAAATTCTCTTGCTAAATAACCCTAAAATACATTCAATGCATATGATATGTTACTTGCACATGAATTGTCTTTTATGGAATTACTGCACCTTAAAAAATTGTCCATGTAGATTTATAGACTTGTAGATTACCCCACCTTGTGAAACTCCCTTCAACCAAAATCACTGTTATATTTCTGTGTATGTCAAATTGAACCATAATGTTGTACCATTTCAGGCAACCCCAGCTCTACAGGCACTGCTACAATGGTGGTGACAGTTGTAAATGTAAATGACAATGGACCAATCTTTGACAAAGAGTACAACCCAATTGTCCAAGAAAACTCACCAACTGGCACATACGTTGAAAAGGTTTGAGGATGTTATATCATATTTAAGTGTAATCAATGCAGAAATGTAGTTTTGAGTCATGTGGATAGGTGGAGCACCTATCGGCCTCGTTCTAGTTTTTGTAAAACTTTTTATTAGGCTGCCATTGAGTCTAGCAAAATTTGCCTTTCCAATGTGTGATGTTTTTGAAAATAGCTGGTTCAAAGTAAAGTGGTTCAGACTGATGATTCAGATATAATTTCAAATGAAACTGGGAATGTAATATTATTTTTACCTTTTATTCAAACACCTCTCTAATTTGAATTTTGGCCCCCTACTTTTGGACCCTGGCTTCACCATAATGATCCAAAACTATTTTACTTGATGTTTCTCATATTGAAATAAAAACTTTCATTTTTAGGTTGGTGCTGTTGACCCTGATGACGACACCTCAGACGGATTCACATTCAAATGCGGGACACCTTGTGACGATTTCTCTGTAGCATGTAAGGAAATTTATTATGATATCCCGAGCCCAGTTGCTCAGAACCACTATTAACTTAATTGCAATTAACATAATTTTGGGTTTAATTGCATGTAAGGAAATTTATTATGATATCCTGAGCCCAGTTGCTCAGAACCACTATTAACTTAATTGCAATTAACATAATTTTGGGTTTAATTGCATGTAAGGAAATTTATTATGATATCCTGAGCCCAGTTGCTCAGAACCACTATTAACTTAATTGCAATTAACATATTTTGGGTTTAATTGCATGTTAGGGCGTTTATTATGATATCCTGATATGTTTCATGCATACTTCCAGATTATGTCTGAAAAAATATTTTGAAATTATGATATTTTTAAGAAATATGACGTATGGAGATAAAACCGAAACTTTGAAATTGGATGATGTCTTTATACAGATGAATATTTTTTTATTTGATTATCCGAGAGACATGTGGAAAGTATGATACTCTAATAAGAGTTCATTTTTGGAGAGAAAAGATATAAATACTGGATAAGAAAAAACAAAACTTAACATCTGTAGCATTTTCTTTATATTTTAGCTGATGGAGTAATAACTACAAAGAAAGAGTTTGATCGTGAAGCAAAACCTATCTATGAAGTCCCCATCGTCATAACAGACCAAGGGGGCCAATCAGCAACCAGTACACTATCTGTAATTATTGGCGATGAAGATGAATCACCAATCGAACCAGGAGAAAAAAATGTAATCGCATACAGTTACCAAGGTAACCAAGTGTTAATATTTATTTAACTTCATGGTGTATAATTTCAGAAAAATTATAATTTTTCAAGCAATATCAAGCTTTTTAAATCAGCTTTTTCGTGCTACTAAATGATTAAATTATCTTGAAATGATTAAATCTTTCGCAAAGCTTATTAAAATTTGGCATATTTATAACGATTCATTTTGCTTCAAAGACAATCTTTAATTTATTAACCCGCATTTTATGAATAAATCAAATAGTAACATGATCCGCTTCATTAATATGAAAGAAATACTTTTAATTTGGAATTAAACTCTTATTCTATGGCTCTTGAATATTTATATATCGTACTTTATAGTTTCCCCTGGATTTACTAATGTATTAAAGTACCATTGTTGGAGCTAAGAACTCCGCAAAAACATGAAGACTCATTCTTGAATATTCAATAAAACATATTCGTCACACTTGGGTATTCTGGAAACATTCAGGTGATATTAATACCATCTCGTCACAATTTCTGATGTCACAATTACCCACAAGGCAATCATTGTTCATGCTAATAATCCAAAATACAGTCTTACATCAAGTCTGAATATTCCAGCACCCCTTCCCCAATCCCCATTCCCCCAGAGGGGAGGAATCTGCCAGGACTCTTGCGTCTCTAAAAGCACAGTATCACATTCTCAAAATGGCTGAATTAATTGTACATTTGAATTTCATTCATTATGTATTCACAATATTTTGGAGGTTATGTACAATATATACAATATAATATGTACGATATATACAATATATATACAGTACAATATATCTTTCACAGACTTGGTGTAAAGGTATATTTCTACGTTCCAACATTCATCAAACCCCCCCCCCCCCAAAAATGCTTGTTTCAAAAAAATAATGCTTGTTTAATGATACCTCATTGACCCCATGCAACCATAAATTAATTCATCCCAATGTAGCATAGGCCCCGGAACATGTAAAAAAATCGAGTCAACGTACACCAAGTAAAGAAATCTTTTTTATACATGCTCCTGGGCCTATGCAATGTAGCCAGGCATAAGCCAGGCGAGGCAAATGACTCGTTAATTTTTTTTTGAAAAGTACTCTATTATCGCCCACTTGATTTTAAAATCTTTTTTCATTCACCAATACTTGGTTATTTCTCAGTATTTCTTTGTGAACTTTGTTAGGCGGGATGGGTGCTTATTAGGGGTTAGATGTTAGATACGGCAATTACAGTACATATTTTGATACCTTTTGAAAGCTTAAATTGTTGAAATGAACTATAAAGGGATTAATTTGCCTCACTAAATAATATTTAGCCTCGCCTAATTTGAGAACCTGGCTACATCCCTACCCTGTATATCAAAATAATATAGAAATATGTTGACCCCGTTACATGTATTAAATATACTAACTTGCAGGCAATCCTACCATTCCCCCTGACGGTGAGTAAATGTCTCTGAGTGTAGACTCTCTTGAGTATAATCTCTGAGTACAATCTCTGAGTATAATCTTTGAGTGCCCTTTTAGCTAGTTTCACTGTTTGTATTCATAACATGCCAGCTTTAACTCTTATGTCATTTTAATATCACCACCAAGAAGAGAAATCCTATTGTAACAGCCATTTGACATTCATTGTTGGCATTTTGTTTCTGTAACGAATTGTCACATTTTTGTCTATGTAACGATTTGTCACATTTTTTGTAGTTGCATCTTGGTGATGATATTTTGTGATGTTAATACCTTGTATTGTAGAATACAGTGCAAAGGCATTGTAGCCAAATTGTACAATTGCTATTTCATATTATTGTAGCCAAATTGTACCAACAGCTGCATCATTAGATTGTCCAATCTAAATGTACTTTGTTTACTTTAGATACCTTTCCCTATACTGTTAGCTATGACATGTTCTCATATATAGAGTCTAGTAACACAAAGTTTGTTTTTAATCTGTGACCCGATGTTTTTGTGACTCTAAGTATCACTAGTAACCTAATATACACTGTATGTTGCATTTTAGACAGACTATGTAATTGTTGAAGTGTTTGTATTTTGTGATGCCACCAGTTACCATGGAAACAGTTTGTTAAGCTGTAGTATGGCATTGTTGAATTGTTGAGAATTTAATAACTTTTCGTTTAATAGCATTTTCAAACTTTCCCTTTTCTTAAGTAGGAGCTTAGGCTGAGCTATTTTCTCATAGAGCCCTCTTTTATGTTCTGTCCAGGAAGCTGGCCTATAGCCAGGGTTTTTCGGGGAGTTCAATTAAAAAGAGGATGGGGGTGGTTCATATAAATCATGTGAACGAACAAGAAAATTTGAGAACCATTTTTAAAAAATGTCATATTTTTCAAAAATATTGCCAATTTTAGGCCCAAAATGAAAAATATTTTTTCGGGATTTTATGGTGTTACCCCCTGGTTATGGGCCTATTATAGGTATAGTTAAAATACAAAAACAGTTTCACAAGAATAATTTTTTATGTTACTTCATTCTAATAAATTTCTTTAGAATAAAGTCATGTTTCTTTTTTTTCATTGTCACGGCCAGGGAAAGTCAGGGAATTTCAGGATTTGCTTACAAATGGCCATATGATCAGGAATCCAGGAATTCAAAAGTCAGGAAATGAAAGTTAAAAATTAAATCACAAACTGGAAAGATTTGTTATTTCCTCAAGTAATTTATCAAAAAATTGGATAACATCAATATACAGCCAGAAATGGGATATGTTATATGTTTCATTGTATAGTGTTTAATGTCATAATATTCTGTACTCAATACATTGTGTTTCACCCTGTCTATTATAGTACCACCATATTCATTGTAGTTTCACCCTGTTCATCATAGAGTCACATATAGTTAAGTTATGTGTTTGTTTCACATATAACATGCAGTTGCATAAAACCCTAATGTACATCGGTCATTATAAGAACAGGTTGTCCCAAAAGTAGGTTTACAATTCAAAGAAAGAAATTGTTGAGAAATTGTAATTTAAAACCTACTTTTTGGACTACCAAGTAATATTATGAAAATAGAACAAATACTTCATTCTGTCTCATACATCCAAAACAGGTTATATTCCATATATACCATCTCAATCAGAAATCCCACATTTTTTAAAATATATGTGATTTCATATCGCTTTCCCATCCATATACACTTTTTCTAAATATATATCTCCTCTCAAAAGCCATTTTACTGCTTTAACTTTCAAAACACATAAATGAGCATTTAATTTAAACGCTTAAATTGACTTTTTTCAGAGGAGTTAGCTGATACTGAAATAGGAATGGTACATGTAGAGGACCCAGACATGTGGCAGCAAAACCTGGAGTATACATTCGCTACAGAAAAAAATAAAGCTTATTTTACGTGAGTAGGAATATGTCAATGTGAATAGTAGCTGAAATATAGGGTGACATAAGAAATGCAATTATTAATTATTTTATTTTTGTCATGGAATCCTCATGACATTTTGTGTACATAAGGTTTTCATATTGTAGATAGAGCGTTCATTGTGTGAAAGAATATTGCACGTGTAATTAAAATGATTTACAGGATTTATTCAGACTAGGTCCAGATCAAGTGGTACCCTATTATCACCCATACATATGATATATATAGAAATCAAGAGCAATTTCGCAAGTAGAACTAATAAAAATTGCTATTCATATGAACCATTGAGTATACCAATTTTATGAAATCCAAACTGGTGCATTTCATCAATGGTCCAAGCTCCCAACTTTTCCCTCTTTTTGAGCCATTTTTCACTATTGTATGTACTTTTATTCTAGGGTTGACGAAACAACTGGTTTACTGTATATAAAGCCACTGAAGATTCCTCCCGGAGAATACAACCTGGTTTTCAATGTAGAGGATACGAAACATAACGTTGAGGTCCAGTCCACCGTTAAGGTCACTGTTATTGGAATATTTGATGACGCTGTCTATAGCTCGGGTTCTTTCAGATTTAAGGGTAAGTGATTTTTTTCATAAACTTTTCTTACTAGATTGAAACATTTTTACTTTTTTTACATAAAATACAATGATTATAGTTTATAGTTTTTTAATGTGAATTGAAATGTAGTTCAGTGATGTCATGTGTTACCATAGCAATTTTAACTCTCACAGAGCTTCAGAAAATATTCTCAAAATGTGAGCATGCTCTTCAAAATGCATTGATCCCTGATTGATCCTTCATTTTAAGACCATGTTTCCGTTTCACATGTACTTATTTGAGTCATTAAAATTTCAGGTACGACAGCCAAAGAATTCATCACAGCACCATCTGGTGGTGGAAAAAGTAACTTTGTCAAACTTCAAGAGCTAATTGCACAGAAACTGAACACTAAAGTGGAATTTGTGGACATCTTTAGTTTACGAGACGATATGTTTAATGGTGAAAAAGTACTTGATGTTCGCTACAGTGCACATGGCTCCCCCTATTATCGTGAGGCCAAACTAAATGGAATTATGGGTGAAAATATCGAGGAGGTTAGGATTGGATTATTAATTTGACTTGTTTCTCTAAATTTTGAATTCATTATATTGAATTCGAATAACATTTCCTTGTACAAGGTGTCCAAAAAAACAGGCCCAATCTCTCTCAGGCTCTGTTCAATCTCTGTCATAATTGCAAAATATGTACAATTGAATATAAAGAGAAGAGGTGCTCATGTGGAGCATGTCTTTGACTTTATAGGCAGATTATCATCAAATCAACTTTTCTTTGGTCCTGTTTATTTGGACACCCTGTAATGATCCATTGTTATCGCTATTATTTTTGTGACTGGTGTTTGCTTATGAAACAAATTGCTATATTTTATTTGCAACCAGGTGTTGACATTTTTTCATAATAATATCTTGTTATTGATTATTTCTTAAATACAGATTGAGCATAATATACCAACTTTGTAGGGTGTATATGTTCAATATGTATCTCTATAATTCAAAAGATGATTTCCAAAATCTTGATTTCCAGATTGAAAACTTACTGAACTTGGAAATTGGCAGCCTGCCAATTGACAACTGCATCGCAGAGAAATGTCCATCAGGCGGATGCACAAACAAACTGGTGACAAGCTCAAAGCCAGTTATTATTGACTCCAATGGTACAGCCCTTGTAGGGGTTGATACCAGGACGGAGGCAGTGTGTGAATGCAGTCTTGGTATGCCCTCTACAAATGTACAGGCTTGTGGCCCATTGGCATGTCTCAACAATGGGACTTGTACTCCAGTACCCGGAACAACAGATGCAGGCTATACGTGAGTCTTTTTCTAGTTTTGTTGTCACTATCAGAAGTGTTGACATGTTAATCTCGAACCTTTTTTTGGTCTGTGTTCGGCGTTTAGCATTAGCCATGTGGAGCAAATTCATACAAGTTCATACAAGCTAACAAGTACTGTTTAGACTGACTTTAAGTTGAACTGTGAAAATATATAAACATGTTTTGGGTTCAAACGCACTTCTGCTTATATATGTTACCATGGCAATAAATAAGTGGACTTTTGTAATAATTTACAATAATTTAAAGTAGTATGCACATGGACTTATGGACACTTTTATTTAACACTGTGTGTCTTTATCACTGTGTGTCTTTTCTACAGATGCGAGTGTCCACCAGGTTTTGATGGCCCCAGGTGTCAACAGAGGAAACATAGTTTCCAAGGCGACGGTTGGGCGTGGTACAAGACGCTCTCCCAATGTGAAGACAGTCTTACTAGCCTGGAGTTTATGACTACACAGGGGACAAACAGCTTGCTATTATACAATGGACCTATTAACAAAGTTGATTTGAGTGAGTATACAGCTATAAACCTTTTCGATAAATTCTGCATTTAAAGGTCCTGTGTAAAGTTTGAAAATATAGTTTATCATTGAAATATTACTTTTCATGTCTTGAAAAACCATTTAAATTGAATGGTTTTACATAGCATATTTAGATTACATTGGGTAGGACTTTAAGCCATAGTGGTTTAAACTTTATATTGGGCCTTTAAAGCACATTTGCAAAATTCAAAGCTAAAAGCTGCCTGATTTTCCAATGGCAATAATTTTTCACTCTTGGCAATGAATTTTGAAAACTGTTTGCCCATTGGGTAATGGACTGAATGCCAATATGTTAAATTGGGCAGTCATGTTTTCAATGCAACTTAAGTCATGAAGTCTGTACATTTGTAAAGGTTTTGATGCAAAAACAAGAGTTTTTACCCCAAATTACAATTGTTGAATTTGAGATGATTGAAAGTCCTTTTGTATTCTATACAGATGATCCAGACTCTGCTTTCCCACGAGACTTTATCGCAATCACATTGCAAGATGGGTACCCAAGACTCAAAATAGATCATGGATCTGGAGCTCTCGAATTGACAATAACGGGGAAAGATAGCAACGGTGCACAAGTACTCAACAAATTGAATGATGGGAAATGGCATAAACTTGACGTCTATAGATCTGGAAAGGTAATCTTGATAATTTTTGCTTGATGTCATTTTTGTCTATGAATTGTCATTACTGAGTGTGACTATCTAAAAATTACATTATTGGTCTCTTTTTTGTAAAATTCAGTAACCAATTCTTACGTGCCATGTTTTGAAATAATTATCAATAGTAGAAGGATATAATAAATATAAAATATATCAGGTTCGTAGCTTATGTTTTTGTTAAATATTTGAATGATCCCAAGTAATATCATATTCTAAAAAGGTTGCCTTATTATTCAAGCTGCACCCAGTTTGATAAATCATTGAGCGATCCCAAACAACGAATATACACTGTATATTTATTGAGAATTTATTTTTCATTTTTTTATGTAGGACGTCAGATTGGTTGTAGATGACTGCGATAGCTCTGTAGTCCCATTCGAAGATCGTAACTGGATTGCCGATCGAACCCCCTGCGAAGCTAAAGGCGTCACTCCAGGTGGAAGTAAATATCTGAACATAAAGACTCCACTGCAGTTAGGTGGAAGATCACGTATGAGTATATCACCAAGTTACCCAGCTGGTCTCGTAACAGGAGGATTTGTGGGATGCGTGCAGAACCTCCAGCATAATGGAGAGGTGAATATTTGATCAACTTTATTTTATTTGAAAGTTTTTATGTCACCATGACAACTGGAGACCTATGGTTAAAAACTCCCAACTTTTGAGGATGGTGTTGGGAGTTTGGTGTTTGTTACACAATTTGTGTTCGGTGTCTGTACCAATTTTTGTTCAGTGTCTGTAACAAATTGTAATAACTAACAAGGTGTGTTACATTTTGTTATGTTGATGCCTAATGTATATCGATTTGATTTGTCACGACTCTTTTACTCTTTGCCTATCAGAAAGTTTTTATGTCACCATGACAACTGGATAACCTATTGTTAAAAACTCCCAGCTTTTGAGGATGGTGTTTGGAGTTCGGTGTTTGTTACACAATTTGTGTTCGGCGTCTGTACCAATTTTTGTTCGGTCTCTGTGCCAATTTTTGTTCAGTGTCTGTAACAAATTGTAATAACTATAAGGTGTGTTACATTTTGTTATGTTGATGCCTAATGTATATCGATTTGATTTGTCACGACTCTTTTACAAAATTTGCATTTACATCATCTTGATTAACGTTGGAAGTCGAAGATTGATTTATTTTGGAAAGGTATACTATAAATTGATACAGGAGTAACATAAAAATCATATTTGCAAAGCACGCTTTTTTTTTAATTTTTTTCTTTTTTCAAGTTTAGAGCAACTTAATATTTTTATTAAGATATACAAAGATAAGCTTTTTTATGCAATATAGCACAATAGCAATAAATCTCAATCTGTGATGACATTGGTACAGTAAAACCTGACAATATATATGTATATATATATATTTTTTTTGACCTGACAATATAAACACTATTGGTATGGCCCTGTGGTGTTCAGATTAGACATTTGTATACGATAAACTGTTTATTTCACGATATTTAAATTTACATCGAATGGCTTGCCAATCACCTAGTGACAGTATAAGCCAATCTTTAAGATTAGACAGGTTTACTGGCAACTCCCCTCCACTATTGTTTATATGATGTACCAACTCATCAAAATTCTAATACTAACTTTTCTTGGATAAATATACTGACTAAACTGAAAAAAGTTGAACATGAAAATGACCATACTATGGTATCGATTATTTTATAAAAGGAAAATCATTATTTTCCAGCTGTACGATCTGCACATCGGAAGTGCTGGTAACCATGAGAACTCCAAAGATGGCTGCCCAAGGGAAGCTACAGGTTGTAGTGGTAAATGCAAGGGCAGTTCGACATGTGTTGCTTCTCTTGATGGTCAACATACATGTACCTGTTTACCAGGATATTACGGGGCTGACTGCGATGAAGGTACATATAAGATATATAAACTCACTGAATCAGCACTTTTGGGCAGAATAAGCTTCTCATTTTGAGTGAAATTGGCATTGAAAAATTGACTGCAGATTTGGAGTGTACATAGCCAAATTTGGATCAAGGGGATTCCTTTGAAGTTCTCGTATTTTATTTTTAGACACTCTCTTTTGTTTTGGGAGTATTGCACTTGAAATGTGTATTTGTTAAAATGAGTACTTGAAAGAGAAAAATGGTATTCTATTCTATCATTTAATTAAATAAGGGAAGATACAAATCATGAAACTGTTCCTCCCATAGCAGGGGTTTCATTAGCAGCAGGCAACAGACGATTTTCACAGGTGGTTTACACAAAATCGCCTATTGTTTTTAGGGAATTTGAACTATTTCATGTTAAATTTATGATTTCCATTAATTTTGCCTGTTGTGAGAAATTGTAGTGAAACCCCTGCTTTAGGATCTGATGGGTGCCTATGTAATCTTATAATTTTGCTTTGTTTTAGAATTTGAAGCATCTGATTTTGGCGCCAACTCTTACCTAGAATGGACACCCAGGTCCTCATTCATCAGTAGCGCTAATACGATGCCCCGCAGGACATCCGCCATTCAGTTGATGTTTAGAACTAGGCAACCAGATGGCGTATTGTTCTCTGGAAGTAATGGTGACAATAACCCCCTCTATAGGAAATATATAATCATCGAGGTTTGTTTTTCTAAATCATTTAAAACATTGAGGCATATTGAGGCTTTAGGAGGCGTTTGCCTCACTGCGCCCATGAACTATTTACTGAATATGATTTATTTAAAAATGTACTTTGAATAAAATGTTTGAAATGGTCGGTTAGTACTTTAATACTTGATAAAACTACTGTATGATTTGGAGATACATAAACAAGATTTATTCTGCTCATATTTTTAGTTGAAAGATGAAAAATTGCAATTCCGTCATAATCTTGGCAACGATGATGATGTCATAAGATTGACTGAAGTCTCAGCCAATGATGGAGCCTGGCATACAGTGAAAGTAGAGCGAGTGGGGAAACTGTTCACACTGAAAATGGACAATGGAGAAGGTCGTTTCTTCAACCAATCGGTAGGAGTGGATTATTCACTCCGTTATTTTGTTCTCACTGGAGCGCCCATATATGGAGGAGCAGATGTCATTGATAATACCATATATGGAGATTATAAAGATGGTATGGGTCTTTTTGTTCTTCTAATTCAACCAGAAGATTCAACATAAGATTTAACAATATTCAAGATACGCATCAGCCATTTTTCATGGGTGTATGTATTCATTTACTGTGATATATTCTATTTTGTCATAACCGCTGTTTTTACATGTCTGATGTTCATCATCACCATTTAATATCAGTGTCTGTGTACAGTTTTCCATTTTTCTAGGTGATGCCATTTTGTCATACCAATGCCTTGTTTTCATTTTTGAATTTATAAAAAACACATTTTTGTTCAGGCTGTATGAAAGACATTCGCTACAATGAAAAATGGTTCCCCCAGACTGATGAACTAGAGTCTGTAAGTGGGGTTGCTTCTGTGAGAAGTGTCAACGTGAATGAGGGGTGTAGTGACGGCGCTGTTTGCAGTCCCCCTGTCCTAAACTGCCCCGCAGATGAGGTGTGTCTGAACATTTGGCGGAAAGCTGTGTGCGGGTAAGTTCAACTTCCTTAATGGGAGATATCCATTAAAGTAAAATGCACTACTGAGTTTAGTGTCTTTGTTTAAGTATTATAATGTCACCACTTCTTATTATGTTACCACCGGAAGTGGTGACATCTTGTAGTAGTCTCAGAATTCTTTGTGGTTGGCATTCAGCATCACAAATGGCAGGTGGTGACATTTTGCATGTTAATGTCTTGTTTTGTTATTTTTTCCCAGTTATAGGGGACGTGTAATGCTATTTATGGATCACATTTTGGAGTTGGTGCTATAATATAGAACAAATGAATAGAACAAAATAACACAAATACTAGGGAACTCGTCATTTTATAACTGGTCCTTGACGGAAGTCCTTGGTTGGAGTTGGACAGACCCAATGGGCCACTTAAATTGATAACTTAAAACTTAACTAACCATATATTAAATTCTATGTATTTTTGTTTCAGATGTGCCACGGGTAAAGCCAAAGCAGATGTCGATGGTGTGAGTGTGTGTATAGATATAATCACATGCGAGCCTAACCCATGTGAGAATGGTGGCGTGTGCCAACCATTTTCTGCAGCTTCAGATATCAGAAATTACAGGTAAGGGACACTTTAAGAAACATGTCTTTTTAAGTGTGAAAGTGAAAGTTCTTTAAAGTATTAATATTATCGGGCAATTGTCCCTTTATGCAAGGTGAATTATTATTTACAAGTTCCTTCCTGTTATCAGAGTATTCAATCACTTAACCCTCTCCAGTCCAATTCTCATTCCCTTTAATATATCTGTGTTTGTTTTTAGGTGTGTGTGTCCAGATAATTGCCTTGGTTACAATTGTGAAACATGTACAGAAGAGGTAGTAGCTGTCTCCGTGACAACAGGAATGATTGTTGCCATAGTGATCTGTCTCGTTGCTTTGATTTGTAAGTGTTAAAATAGTCTACCAGATAAACATTTGTTTCAAATATCCAGTCTTTAAGAATCAGTCATTTGTTAATCATTTTAGTGTGTCGAATATAGTATTTTTACTGTCGAGTAGAGTACAACGTAGGAATATAAAAAAAATAACATTTAGATTTTTTTTACACATCCTACAGTCAAAAATATCTAAGATTCTAAAAAATATCTTAAGATTGCCCCTCAACATTATCGTTTTTATTGTAACTAACAATAAATAAGATTTATAATTTTAAAAATATATTATATATTTTATATCTTTGAATGGCCACGTTGCATTTAGTTTTTTTGTCTATGGACTTGAGCTCAATTTTTACCTGCTTTATCTTTCAGTGATACTCCTTCTTTGCGTATTGTTCGTGAGTCGTCGTGACAAGCGCCATCTATTGCTAAATGTAGAGCCGGAGAGTGATGTCAGAGAGAACATGGGTTACTATGACGAGGAGGGGCCAGGTAAACAACAGACAGAGACATCTTTCTTGAAAATATCAGACATCGAAATTCTTGAATTTTAGTACCTTTTGCATTCACTTTATCAGTCTGCCATAAAGTTTACTTGCACAATTGGTCTTTTTACAATCTTTGCTAATTGAAAACATATATCAAAAATAACATATCATAGGTTTGAACTATTTGGTTTATCGACTGCAAGATTGGGTTTGTTTTTATGTGTTCAATTCAATGCCTGTATGTTCGATTTATTGTCATACATGTGTTGATTGACAATTTATTCATATATATTGATTGATTAATTGTCATTTATGTTTTTATTGACAATTCATTCATAATTTTTGCTTTAGGAGATGAAGACATGCATGCCTATGACATCAATACATTAAGAAAACCTGTAGACTCAGAGCCACCTATTGGTCGCCCTGAAAATACAAGACCTGTACATAGTAAGTTATTGTTTTGAAACCCGTTTTTTTTAAATGTATGATATTTGCAGTTGGAGAACTTTTTTATAATACCACTAAATGGGAAAGGCATGACTTTCTTTATTAATTGGTTTAATTGAAAAATAAATTTAAATTGGGCACGTATATTAACATGCATAGTTAATCATTTCTTCTGTGTGAAGAGAAAATACCCAGCCAGCAGTTTGATTCCAAAAAAGAGAATTTCACGTTTCATATGAACACTAAGTGAATATACATCTGTGTAATGAACACTTGAATTTCATAGAGATACTTGAACAGCTTTTAAGTGTCACATAAATCTTTTAATTCCAGGCGGAGCACCCTTTGATAGAGACCAACCAGACAGAGACCAACCAGATATAGGGGACTTCATGGATAAACGCTTAGGTGATGCTGATGATGACCCAAATTCCCCACCATTCGATAGCGTCAGGGAGTACGAAGAGGAAGGATCCGGTAGTACTGCGGGAAGTTTGAGCTCTCTAAACACGAGCAGTAGTGGCGATCAGGACTTTGACTATCTTAATGATCTCGGACCAAAATTTAAAAAGTTGGCTGATATGTATGGAGCGGGACAAGATGAATAATTAGAGTTCACTGTGCTTTCATTTGATGACAGAGTAGTCTTGCAACAAGTCAAACAGGAGATTAAGCTACATGTTTTAAGAGACTTGGACGTGAATGTGTGTGATGTTATTACCCCCAGAGATAATTAACTCTCCCCATCTCAGCTGGTTTCTTTAGGGACTAAATACAACTATTTCCCTTATTATATAAAAGAATATACAGGCCCGTAGCCAGTTGGGGGTTCGACGGGTTCGAGTTAATTTTTCAAAAAGTGAACCCCCCCTTGGCAAATCCTGGCTATGGGCCTGATATATATTGGCAAATAAATATTATGAAGTGTGAACTATTCCGATAATTCTACAAATTCACATACAAGTTTCATTAAAAATGTATAGCTTGACCTCCCTATTGTATCATGGCATAACTTAACCGACACATTTTCAACACAACCCAAGATCAATTTGATAACTGTATAAGGCCAGGTAAATATCCTTGAACACAATGGCATCAGATAAATCATTTCTAGGTTCAAATATGATTTCTTATAAACACTTTACATCACACACAACATAATCGAGAGAAGGGGTGTTGAAAAAATGTGAGGACGGCATATGGTTTAATGCAAGACTACGAGAGAAAAGGCTGTATAAAAAGCAAAGCTAAACTGCTTTGAGAAATTTTGTGAAAAGGGACCAATTTGTATAATTTCACACATTTTGTAGTCATGGTAACCATTAGAAGTATGGTTATTTGAATGTATGTCAAACAAGACATATGAGTTACCAAGGGGCCTTCATTGCTCAAACTGCAAAGTGAAAAATGGGAAAAATGCGTAACATAAAAAACTTGTGGCTTTTGGAGCTTATTTTGCATAATTAGGACTATTTGTCATTTTATTGTCATTGGTTCTTTGAAGTGTTTACTTCATACGAACACCCTCCCCATCTCCCCCTTCTTCTTCATGTATTGTAACTAAGCAATTTTTGATTTTCATAGGGAGGATGGAATGTAAAAGCAAAAGCTAGAATGTTACCAAATTGTGATATCACTATTGAAATTATTGTTTGGTGAAATTATAAAACGTTGCCCTATATGTATATGAAAGGTTGCTAAAATGTAATTGAAATATTGATTTATATATTAGAAAAAATGTGGTTGATTATTTGACCACCTTGTAGATTTAATGAAATAATGAGGCAATATTTTGTTATCACCCTGTACATATTGTAAATATTAAACCAAATTTGTTATCACAGACATGTTATCACAAATGTGTTATCACAGATGTGTTATCAGTGTTTTATAACAAATTTGTTATCACAGATCAAATGTGTAATCTACTAAGCTGGAAAATAAAAGACTAACAGCTTCATAGGGTAACATGCTTGTAGGCATTATATTATACTAAAATAAATTTCCAAAATATTCTTTAGAAATTGAAGCATTTACACAAATGTTTTAATTGGATTATGATTATGTTGCCAATGGTGGAATGAAAATATTTCTCAAACATATTTCATTCAATCTTATTTTACAGTATGTATAATAATTACACAATATATATGTATTGTACAGTATGTATGTTTATTGTACAATATGGATGCATATTATACAATTTAATTCCAGCAGTTTCTCATTATCATAATTGTAAAATGTAAATATTTGACAATAGTGGGCAAGGGAACTATTTTGATAATATGTATGTCTGAAAAATTGTAATTTTGAAGAAGAGATTTTTAACATCATATTTTTGTTGTTGGATGATAGATGGCGCTGCTTCCTTATTAATTGATGAGAAAGTATTTTACTGCATTTTGCACTCTATTTATGTATTTTATATTGAAACTCTATTAAGGTCAGTTTTGAAATATTTGTGGTCAATTTTATGTTGTATACATTTTGGGAAATGATATATATTTATGAAGAATGAATTTCAGTATTTACTATATTGGATGGGGTTATCTTTCATGATTAATTGTTGGTCAAATACACTAGTACAGGGTGTTTCGAAAACTTTGTTCCGTATACAGTTTTATAGCTTTGAAACCTTCGTGAACACTCTGTACTATGTTCCTCAATACAGTCATGACATAAACCCAAATTATGTCAAGATCAAATGCAAGGTCTAAGAACTATATACAGTACAAAAACAGGGTGAATTTAGATGATATTCATTTAACTTTTGTTAAATATGATTGTCATAGGAATGAGCATCATATACGTTACTATGGCAACTGGAAGATATGATCTGTGAGTGAAAACTGGTAGGAAACAAGATCTGAACTCTTTTAACTATTTATTAGGTTATTAGGTTACATATCAGAAATTTATAATCAGCTTTTTACATAGGTGCAAGAAACTTGTAGAGGGCCCATGGATAAAAAGTGGCACTGGTCATGCTAATAAGAATATTAAACTACTCTCTATTAAAAATCAGAGGTTTTGAGATAATTTGATAATTTGCTCTGGATTTCCAATTTGCTTTTGTAATTTAGCTTATTCCATTGTAATTTTATATAATTTGAGTCTTAACTGTTTTGTATTTCCAGTTTACTTTTGTATTTTGCTTACAGTATTCCATTGTAATTGCATCTTATTTCTTTGCAATTTAGCCTACTAGTATTTCTTTGTAATTTCATAATGTATTGTAATTTCATCTTATATCAATGTAATTTCTTTGTCAATTTATCCTATTTCATTGTACAAATACAATTTTGTAATTTGTCTCATTTCTTTGTAATTAAACACCATTTTGTAATTTCAATTGTTATTCTTTTTGAACATGGCCAGTTGTGACTGTTTCCCCATGGGCATATATATATTCAGTTGATATTGATGGTGTTCTATTACATTCCAGCTTATATCAACATGTAGAGAAGAAAGGTGTATGAACTACTACATGTACTTTATATGATAACTTTTTATGAATAATAAACTTTTGTATTTAAATTATAAAATGTTGGTCTTTAATGGTTTAAAATGCAGATCTGCTGAAATCTCATTAAGAACGGGATTTCAAAGCTAAATGGAAACTCTTCTATTCGATCCATGAATTACAGTTATTTAAAAATAGGGAATAAAACAGTAGATATGATTTTCAATAACTTCCTATTTAGAAGAGATTTAGGAAAATGCATAGCCGTGTCTGTACTGGGGCCGAATAATTCAGTGACATATTTTTGAAAATCATGCTTTTAGTTAAAAAAAAGTTTGGGTTTTATGTTTTATAGTCCAATCTAGTCTATGTGCTATAGTTGTTATGTCATCATCACGAGTTGTAACATATTGTTATGGAGCGAGGTGTCCTCCTCATTGTCAAATATATCACTGGTCGAATCTTCAAAGAACTCGTCCATGGTCATTCAAGAGGCGCAGAAGCTCGTTGAACAATTACAAGCAACAACGCATCGAGGACAACTCGCTCCATGACAATATTGTTAATAATCTACAACCCTTTTTTAAACGGTGTTCGGCTGTCGGCGTATGGAGCAAATGGTGGGGGGGGGATTTGCGTGTTAACACTAAATCGTAAGCAATAAAGAATTACACCAACGGTTGGGTGGTGGTGGCGGAGCAGACCATGTGTATCCACATGTTTTGAGAGTTGAGTCAAAGCTAGTTGTCAATTGAGATAATTATTTCTTAGGCCCAAAAGATTAACTAGGTCAGATATCAAATCTTGGAATGACCGTCAGATGGTGGAACGCGAGGTGTGCTTTGAGTACGATCGCACCCCCCCCCCCCTCAGAAATGCTGAAGCGATTTATGATGGTCAAATGGACCTATTTTTCGTCATTTCATTTCAGTCCATTGTCCGCCTATGTAAGACTTCTTATAAAAACGCAAGGTTTAGAAGTGTTTAGACATGGATTTAACATAGACGATTGCTGGAATGGTGTGCAGTGGCGTAGGAACAATGTACGCCAAAACGCCAGTGCGTAGTGTTGAAAAGTGAGAGTAAAAAGGCTTATTAATTTTCCTGTTCCTGTTTCCTGTCCTGTTTTCATGTTTTTTATTCATATTTTCTCATTGTATTGTTCAAAAGTAATCTCGAGCACACTAGCCTAAAGAAATGTTTTGTGGATACCATATGATATGCTCTATTTTCAATAGTACTCTTTTGCATGGTTTTTGTGCCTCTGTTATTTTTCTAATCTGGGCCACAGATAAATTACACTTTTTGAAAAATAAGATATTGAAAGTTACCTTGTTTCTATAGTTCTAATACTGAAGAAAATGCAAAGTAACATGCTTTATTTCATGATAATCGAGCCACTATTGACTATCTTCGCCAAATATTCGAGATTCGCGTTCTCTTCACGAATTTGAGAAAAACAGTTTTTTTAAAAACTACTTGATGAACACCTTTGCAATTCTTTTGCGCATGTTCTGCAATGCTTATGCAAACTGTGGTATCGTTTAATTATAATGATGAACCTCTTTAAAAGAGATGTATATTTTTTTATTCTCCCCTACTCCCAATTTTTCAATTTCACTATATCGATTTATATTCTGTTGCTAGGCAAAATCATAGACAGAAATTATAGTTAAGTCAGCAATTATCTATTTTCTTACTAAATCACCAATTGTTATTGGTATTACTTCTTTAAACATGAATGTAAAGACAAAAACAACTTGAAAATGTTGATTATTCAAATACGCGTTCCATCGATTTCAGTTCTAGAAAAGCTATTACTTAGATTTTTATTTCATTTGAAAAATAATAGATTATTGTTTTAGGAAATATAACATTTTTGGCACCCCTAAGTCACGTTGACCTCGATTTGACCTTTGTGGTGGGAAGTTTATTTGGTCTTGCGAATTAGTGTTATAAAAAAGGTTGCAGACATAAGGGTTAATTGTTTCATTGATCACGAATGCGTTTCTTTAAATCAGTTGATCAAGCTATTTTTTAATCTGTACGTGTATTGCACGGTACACGATGGAATCAGACAATACTATCTCAATTCAATTATTCGAAAATGATTAAAAATCTCTCATTGTTATTTGGAAATTGATCGTCTATATCGTTCGAGACATAAGAAAAGTGAGAATGATTTGTGATTTTCCATGGTGATTTTAAATGATGAAAATCATTCGAACATTTTAAGCACATTAAAAGGGGCATCAAGGATTTTAAGCTTGCATATAAAATCGAAACGCCAACCTATACGTATGACCAATCGCCCATACAAATGCATCGCTTAAACATTTCCGTTCACATTTAGGTTATAAAAACATTACATTCTATTGCCATAAAATGACGTTTAACGAGCATAAAATAGGCGTTTTGATATAGAAGATTTGACACAATTGTTTCATGGTTTTGGCGGGATTTTTTGGCGCAGTGTTGAATTTACACCTTCCTACGCCCCTGGTGTGTTAGGTGTTTTCACTGATAAATGCTCTGTCGAAGTCTGTAAACGACAAAACCCTAGTTATTGAACCCACGTTTGTTTATGATTTATTTTCATAAACGTAGGTAAAGGGGGAGAACCTTTCAAAGTAGTTGTAAAACGTCATATAGTTGATTCAACGGATTTGAAAAATCCTAAGAAGATTTGAAAAGGCATATATATGTATTTAGCGACCATTCAGGGTATAAATCCTATTATACTATTATTTGTATTGAAATCAGAAAAGGATTGAAAACTAGAATTTTGTGGTAAATAAAACAAGGTGTTTTCATATACAGAAACTGAAAGTACTATGATATCATACTGGATAAGAAGCGAAGTTATTTTTTCACAAGAATGATAAGAAACGCTTGGAGATATTATAGAGGTTTTCTCAAATCAGCAAAATATGGAAGAAGAGAGAAAGTTTAAAAAATCGCCAAGAAGATTATACTGCATTGTCATCATAATAATTGGATTTCTGTTCATCTATTTGTGTATGTAATGATAGATAATGAAATATTCTATATTGTGTTTAAAGTGGCAATGTTTTCAGATTAACTAATTAATTAATTAATACGGTCTATATAAACGTTGACACCGGGATATGGATTAAGCCGCTGATTGGCCGTTGGTTTTGCTGGTTCACCAAAAGAGGAAGAAATTGGGGTCTTTTGACCAAAAGGCGATTGTTAAACTTGAAACAAATTCGTCAACCGCTATTTCAGTTAGCACCTGGACAGACGGACGGACGGACTTCTTTAAATATGTAACAAAGATAAGCTATTTTTTTTCTTAAGCACAATTTTATTTATTTATTTAGTTATCTAAAATAGATGTACATGGGGTAATATAGTAAATACAAGAGAGCATATTCGAGTGCTAATCACCATTTTGGCATTATAAGCACTCTAGCCTAGCGGAAAAAAAATGTAGAGGGGTGGAAGGGGGGGGGGGGTCTGAGCTGGGACTGAGGGAAATACAGGGCAGAGGAACAATGTAATTTGTATTTGCAAGACAAGGCAGGGTACAATAGGTTCTAAAATAGTCTTGTTCAATATGGGGTAAAGCATCTATTAATAAAGGCAGAAGTCAGAGATAAGATTTTTGTGTTTTCATCCTTGCACAAAAGATTAACTAGGTTAGAGATCAAGTTAATTGTGAAATGCCTGTCAGATGGTCGAGCGCGGGGTGTGCGTTGAGTGCAATCGCACCCCCCTCCCCTCAGATATGCTGTAGCGATTTATGATGGTCAAATGGAGCTATTTTTCGTCATTTCATTTCCAGTCCATTGTCCGCCTATGTAAGACTTCTTATAAAAACGCAAGGTTTAGAAGTGTTTAGACATGGATTTAACATTTATTTAGACGATTGCTGGAATGGTGTGTCAGGTGTAAGTGCTCTGTTGAAGTCTGAAAACGAGAAAACCCTAGTTATTGACCAATGTGTGTTTATGAGTTATTTTCATAAACGTAGGTGAAACCTTTCAAAGTAGTTGTAAAGCGTCATGATTCAACAGATTTGAAAAAGCAGAAGGTTATAAGAAGTAGATTCTTTGTTTTGTGTCCTGGCAAAATCCAAATCATGCAAGGGAACAAAAACAAACACAAACTCAAGAAAAACAGAAGCTTATTTGCTTAAGAAAAGTATACATTTTATGGGCATAAAAAGGGATGACATACCAATTTACAGTGATTACAAACACATATCTATACATCATATACAATATATTTAAACATAGCTATCATTCAAAGGTAACCAAAACAAGAAAGTACACAATGTATGCCAAAGTAATCAAAAACACAATCAATTTTGACGCGCATCAAAATGTCCGTCGTTCCTGATTCCGATTAAAAGAAATGCGATGTTACTTTCAGACCCTTGTGATTGCTATTTGGATGTGTTTATTTTTCTGATTTACTCAAAATCGTGCAAGCAATGTGACGCAAAACAAAGAATCTACTTCTTAAAGCCTTATTTAAGTGACCAGTTCGTGTATAAATCCAATTTTACTATTTTGTATTGAACTCAGAAAAGGACTGAAAAGAATTTTGTGGTATATTAAACAAGGTGTATTAAAGGTGCATGCAAACTTTTTTTAAACTGAAAGTACTATGATATCATACTGGATAAGAAGCGAAGTTATTTTTTCACAAGAATGATAAGAAACGCTTGGAGATATTATAGAGGTTTTCTCAAATCAGCAAAATATGGAAGAAGAGAGAAAGTTTAAAAAATCGCCAAGAAGATTATACTGCATTGTCATCATAATAATTGGATTTCTGTTCATCTATTTCGGTACGTAATGATAGATAATGAAATATTCTATATTGTGTTTAAAGTGTCTATGTTTTCAGATTAACTTATTAATTAATTAATGCGGTCTATATAAACGTTGACACCGGGATATGGATTAAGCCGCTAATTGGCCGTTGGTTTTACTGGTTCATCAAAAGAGGACGAAATTGGGAAATTTTGACCAAAAGGCGATTGTTAAACTTGAAACAAATTCGTCAACCGCTATTTCAGTTAGCACCTGGACAGACGGACGGACGGACTTCTTTAAATATTTAACTAAGATGAGCTAATTTTTTTTCTTAAGCACAAAAGATTTTTTTTATTTATTTAGTTATCTAAAATAGATGTACATGGGTAATATAGTAAATACAAGAGAGCATATTCAAGTGCTAATCACCATTTTGGCATTATAAGCACTCTAGCCTAGCGGGGGAAAAATGTAGAGGGGTGGAAGGGGGGGGGGGGGGGGTCTGAGCTGGGCTGGGACTGGGGGAAATACAGGGCAGGGGGACAATGTAATTTATATTTGCAAGACAAGGCAGGGTACAATAGGTTCTAAAATAGTCTTGTTCAATAAGGGGTAAAGCATCTATTAATAAAGGCAGAAGTCAGAGATAAGATTTTTGTGTTTTCATCCTTGCACAAAAGATTAACTAGGCTAGAGATCAAATCGTGGAATGCCCGTCAGACCAGTGAAACTTAATGGAATGAAAGAACATTGATTATGGATCAATAACGCAGATGCGAGTAGGTAGTTACCACCAGGTGGCTCGTTCGGGTCAGATAGCATGGCGGGTATAGTAGAAAGTTCCCTTTAACTTAAATTACATGTATTTGCATGGTTCAAGTTTCATATAACCCTTATATAGTTATGGAAACTTATTTTATGTCCAGTAAAAGAAAATGTTATCTGTCCAATACACGAGAAGATAATTCACTTTTTGTGATTTTGTAACATGGGGGTCTATGGGGATTCAACCCGAACAAGAAGTCACATTTTCCCAAAAAAATAAATTTTCAAAGTTGATAGACGGTTTTCGAAACCATATTTCTAGATGTACTTTTACATGCAGATTTCAAATATGAGATCACTTTGACCGAATTTTGAATATTTGATGACGTAATTCAAGATTATTTCTACTGGCATCTAGTCTATTGTGGCAGCTACAACTTAGAACCCATACTGGATTGGCATACCCTGTACTTCCCATCTAGATGTCTTTTGGGATGAAATAGCAATTGCTAAATTTAAACGTCATTGTGAGCGGGAAAAGTCGCTAAAATAATCCTCATTTATTTTTTTAGTTATACAGGACAACAGATTTGAATATGTGCAGTACTGTGACGACAAAGAAATCAAGAAGATACTGTTGCTCACGTATGCCAGGGGCGGCTCGACGTTTACGGCTGAGTTGTTCAATCAACACCCAGATGCATTCTTCTCGTATGAGCCTCTATTCACCACCGATATTAAGGACATGGCAGATATCGCGAGGAGAATTTTGACAAATCAGAAAAATATTGCGTAAGTCTATTTCATTTTAATTCTAGTCGCATATTGTAAGTGTATTAGTATGGGCTAGTTATCGTATTTGGTACGAATAAATCAATCTTATATATCATATATATGTATTATGTATATATAAAGATTTAGCTTTAAATAACAAATTAATTATATTTAATCAGGCCAAAGATCCGCCGCGAGCCAGCCACGTTGCATTAATATTGAGATGAAGTAGAATGGTAAAAATAAAATGTTAAAAGGTCAAACCTCGCAAAATCCTGGTTGAATTTCATTCTTTTAAATTATAACCATAGGAGTAGAAACGCTTGTTGATACATTGCACCTTATTGCACGTGAAAGTAATGCAATTTTAAAGGGCTATTTCTTGCCAGACCATCTCTCTCCTAATATGGTAGCTATATACTTTCCATATTTAGCAAAACACAGAAAATGATTTGATATGGTCAATATTGATCGCATAAAAATGCAGCGCTCGATTCCAGTATAGATATAGTCTGGCCTGGGCCAGGAATGTCCCTTTAAACGTTGAACTGACTATTTTTGAATGGATTGTTTAGGTCACTCTGTATTTTGCAGATTTCAACCCAACAGCGTCCCTAATTTAAACATTTTGTTAATTTGTAGAGTGAGACGAGGACTAACGTACTCCAATCATGAGGCCCAAGATGTGATAAACAATATATTCACTTGTCATTTACACAGAATACCACTGACTGCAGTTACGCATCACTATGTAATGCTCAAAGGATCTTTGTCAAACGTCTACAGTAAATGCTTTGTTTCAAGCCTGATGACATGGGGACCAACGAACTGTCTTCAAAACAATTGTATGACCTCAAAAATACGGACCATAAAAACAATATTACTCAGGATGAATGCGGTGAAAGGGCTACTGCGCCAAAATCCGCATTTGAAAATAATCCATTTAGTTAGAGATCCACGTGGTATTTTAATGTCAAGATGGCGGACATTTGGTAAGGATGACGTCATTAATACAGCCAAGGTCGGTGCTGAAGCGGAGGAATTGTGTACTACGATGTTAAACGACGTCAAACTCAGGGAAGAACTAGCAAAAAATCACTCGATGTCATTCTTCTATCTACGCTATGAAGATTTAGCTGAAAATCCTTTAAAAATAGCAGGAGACATATATGATTTTGTAGACATGCCATTTCATGACACTGTTAAAGCTTGGTTTGCAAAGAACGATACTCAGGGCGGGAAATTTGAAACAACACGGCACAATATGAAGAAAACGTCTTATTCGTGGAGGGACAAGATACCATGGGAGTTTGCAAATATTATTGATGCAACGTGTAGTAGAATAAATGAGAAACTTGGATATAAGCGCGCAGAATCTTTAGAACAATTGAGAGATAGGTCATTTTCGTTGCGTGTACAAACAGTAAATGGATAAAACAAAATATGACATAAATGCAACGCTTCCAATGCCATCTATCAATAACTTAGAGATGCAATATGTATTTAATCTCATCAGGCGGAGTCAAAAAAGCTAATGCAAACTAAACTTAATAATCCAATATCCAGTCATCCAGTATGAATTTGAAGTTATCTCCTCGGTACAATTGACTGTTCCATCTTCTTTCATTTAGTATAGTTTCATTGGTCTATTCTAAATGGTCACGATTTTACAGACATTTTACAAAACATGCTCAAAATGCAAGTCTTGTCTTTGGAGGCACACTTATCAGATGAAATTTTCTGACTGCACACTTGTGTAATGGCTCTCATTTCCCTTCCCATCTCTTGTTCCAACTCTCTGATGCTTCTAGGATTGGTAATATACACATTCATTTTGAAAAAGCCCCAACAGCCAAAAGTAAAATTATGTGGGTTCATATTGGGTGATTCTGATATGTTTTGCCATTTGGAGCATGTTTGTAAAACAGCCATGGGGTCCTGACTATTTGAAATGGAACTCAGAAGAATGAAAGAAAATTAAACAAAGTTCAATTGTACAAAATATTACTTTAAACCCTGTACTGGATGACTGTGTTATTAAGATTTGTTTGGGTTACCTTTTTAGCTCACCCTGTACTTTTGATAGAAAGATACATGGCATTAGTCGTTTGCTATAGGGCTAGAATACTACAGTGGAACTTTTATTCCTTTATATTTTAAACTTACCATAAGTGCGTAACGACATGTTATCACTTATAATAATTCATTGTAAGCGTTAATGCACTTATGAATCAGTATAACACGATAAGATAATAATTTATCAAGTTGGCCAAACTCAACTTTTCCTTGGTTAAATGCGAAAAAAGTCCCTAGTATAAAATATCCAGGGTTGCCTATTTACAGCACATCTCTGCATATACAATATACCTATATTATTGATTCCGTCCAAAACAACTTGATTTGTAGGGTTTTGTGCTGTTTTGTTTTTCAAATGTTGTCCTTTGTGTTATTTTCTAAATATTGCCGTTTTTGAATCAGGAGTAAGCAGCCAAAGTGTCGTTTATTTTCTGTCTTTGGTGCTCCAATATGTGATAATGGACATGCCAATAAACATTATTATATACTTATAAATGTGAATTATTGTTACATAACAATTATCAAAGAGTGTAGTGGTGACAATACGTTCCGTATACGGTGCTTAAAGTACACGTTGCTTAAGTTTGATCCAGCGTAATCTCAGGTTTTGCTTGTGTACCGTGGGAAACATTTCTTATACAGGGTAACCAAAAGAATGGAACGTACTCATTTTTTTGTTGAATAAATGTACATGCTTCTTATCATGAAGTACTCGAACCATATATATATGTTACTGTGATGTTTTAAACATGGGTCTAAAATAAGGGTCATATTACTGTGCCCAGTTTTTGTACACACAGCTTGTAAAATGACGTCAGATGTATAAAAATCAGCTTCTATCTTATACACAAAATATTTTGATGATTCTTTTATACCAAAAAACGATTTATAGTCATAAAAATCTTGTTTAACACAACATAATCTTTCTTATGTATCACTATTCTAGAGAAATGAAAGATTCAAAAATAATTTTTAAATTTTCCGATGTTTTTTGAATATACCTTGATGCGTAACCAGACGCGGTATAAATTACGTCAGCAACATTTCAGGGACTTGATTGGTTGCATCAAGCGTAACGATACCCACTAGCGGATAACTATTACCGACAAAACATTTACTAAGTTCGTCTGCATGAACATCTTCTCATATCTACTAATGATTTTCGATTTACATTGTGATTTTGATTTATTCGATCGCAAATGTCTATTCCAGTCGATATTGTCTATGTCTATGTCAATAATCTGTAAAGGGCTAATAAGCCCATATAAAGCAGATATATAATGGAATTATAGAAGAACAATGAACGCTCCCTTCCAATTCACACCCTGGCACATTTATTCGAGAAATTACTTAAGTCTGGATTGATTGCGTAATTGAATATCATTTATTAATTCAATAGCATACAAGTAAGTAGACATTACCAAACAAAGGATTCATAAAGGCACGACTAGCAGTTCGTTCAGTGCATTCCGTGCAACAGACGGTTACTATAGTATTTAGGAGGCACGATTGCATTAAACGAAATGCTAGACGAGTGGAGTTCGACAGACATAATTTTACAGGCAGTTGTACACACATGACAATACATGTATAGTATAGTGAAATCTGTATATCGTAACACATCTCTAATCTAAATACCTCAAAATATGAACATTTTTGGTCCCTAATTTGTTCTTCCCATAAGCTCACATATTAAAAAAAACTTAAAAAGTGAAAAATTCATGTTAATCCGAACACGAGGATTGGATCAGACAGGCTGCATTGTATAATATTGAGATATATTGATATCTGTATATTTGAATGGTATTGTTTTTTAAAATCAATATTATAGCTGAGGTAAGGTTTTATGATAAATCTCAGTTTTTTGTGATACCTGTGCTAACAACAAGAGGTAAATGCAGATTTGCATAGCAATTTGAATACTAAAATAAAAAATATTTTCTTGCCATTACAAAGCATTGTTTTTATCATTGTAAAGACCTTATGCAATATTTGCAATATATGTCACTCTTTGTCATTCTCAATAAACTACCCGTAAAGAAATCGTGCAATTTGTTATGATATACGATAGTAGTTGCCATACACACACATATACCATGTACAGTACAGTTTGTTTCCACGGTGACATCGCCTAATTCCTATGCGTGTCACTGAGTCTCCCAAACAAACCCCATTGCACTGTCCTTATATATTCATGCACCAAGAATTTACAAAAATATTATCCAGACGTTTTTTGACTGAAATTGTCAAAAGTGAGTCGAATACTAGTATAATCTGTTTTTAGGTTACTACTGTATGTCCCTGAATGCTGGATAAATGAAACTTTAGCTCCAAACAGAACTTTGTTACGCATTTCGGTAAAATGTTTAACATTCACCAACGTTTCAAGATGAATTACCAATGTTTATCAATGTAATTGAAAGTAAACCTGCTGAAATCTACATGTAGTTTCAAATTAATCTGTTTATGGTTCGTGTATTTCGTTAGTAGTTTTGTTATTCCTGTTCAAGCTGAATCTGCAACACAAACAATAGTTATATTCCTCCGACGTTGAAACTGGGTCGTGGATTTCGTCGTGAGTCGTGAGTTTCTCAGTCTACAATGACGTCATCCTCGTCGTACTATTGACGCATTTCATTCCAGTGAGATCAGTGCTAGAATTATTGGTGGCGGATGATGACGACAACATCCTGGTAGAACCCGTAGTGACGTCCCCATTTAAAAGTGTCAAGTGTTGAGAATCCTTTGTTGGTGATTTTGGGATTGATTTAGTCTCATTTGTTACCCTCGAATGATCCCATCTGGGAGTTAGACCCTTTTTAAGAAGTCCATACCATAATAACTTCTTCAGGGCTTTTCTGAAACCCGCCATACCCCAGGCATAAAGGGCAGGGTTCCACGCGCTATTTGCGTGCGAGAGTACGATAGTGACCTTGATAACCCACCAAGGAATAGCCTCGAAGCAAAGGTCACAAAAACACATTATGGTGTTAAGTAGATATAGCGGCATCCATGATATAACGAATAATATAACAATGGTTGCTAAGCTCTTTGCTGCCTTTACTTCCGCTTTGCTGCAAATCAGCTCACCGTCTTGGGAATATGTTTGTTGCGCCATAACACGTAGCTGAAATAAAACACAAATATTATAATATTATCTTACATTCTCCGTAGCATTTCGTTCTGTGCGTTCCTTGCCTAGAGGACACGATAGCGCCAAACGAAATGCTCGGAGATTGATCTTTAGATTGTTTTGGGCAACTTGTTCTACAATTGAATAATAAGACTTGAAAAAATTATTTACATATTTTTATCATTATAATTATAGAAGATGATTTTTATATGTTCGTTTTTAAAGGCAAACATCAAATTGTCCTTACATTTCCAAATGTCTTTGTTTTCACATAATCATGCCCATATTTCAAAAACGCTATTTGAAAAATATTATATGAAACAATACTATAAATAATATTTACATTTTATCTCTACAATATATTTGCATATCGTATACTTATAGTAATACTCTGGGATATCGAAACGACTTAGACATATTTGGTAACTTATACAACTATATCTAGACATTAGAAGGACCCTTTAATTAAGTGTTCTATAACTACAATAGACTAAAAATATGGGTTAATTCACAATCAGAACTAGTAATATAATCTCACAGAACATGTTATCTACTTACAAACATTGACAGTAAAAACTTTTATACTAAAAATTGAAAGATTGAACGGGGTACCATCGAATAATTTTGGGAACGTACCGGAGAACGACATTTTACTAAGAAATGGCAATAATTTAGCACAATATATTTTTTAACTAGAGTTCTATTTTGATTTTGACAAAAGTAAGTATTCCATGCAATAACTATTTCATTCATGAGTTTGTAGGAATTCTGTTGGAACCCAGTTCTGATCAAGTACGAAGTTATTGAAATCGGCGCAGACGGACTTTACTCCGAAAGATGGTTTTTCGATTATAACGTTTCACAACATTTAAGTATAGACTTTTGAAAAAAGTACAGAATAGTCCTTATACTTTTGAATAATTCTGTTATTTCTGATTCACACGACTCTGATTTGTTTAATTTAAAAAAAAGTTTTAAAAATATTACTTAGGAACGTAACCGGAGCTGGGAACGTAACCGGAGCAGATCAGTTGAATTATTTAATCAAAAAAATTAAAATATATGATTTAAAGCACATACTAATTTAAAAACATACGGGATTGTTCGAATGCGTATTTATTACATTTTATTTAAAGAAAAAAAATTTATCCATTGTGAAAAATTAAATTTGGTATTTACCATGCATAAGTGCACTTACCTTAGAAAGGCTATCAAACATAGAACAATCATTGTATGGAGAATGAAGTGATTAAATGTAGTAAGCAAATAATTCCATTTGATTTCACCCATTGTATTTGTTCAGCGAACTATTAGAACCCACTCTGTTATACTAATTTCGTATATATATACTGTTTATACATACATGTATTATACTTCTAAGACAACTTCTCTTTTCAGGGGAAATAAAAGCATTTAAATGCTAGATTATTAAAAAAGTTAGGATACAACGAACTGTATATAGCGTAGGTGTGTTAAGTACTTGTCATGTGCTCGACCAAATCGAATCAACATATATGCATATGCTTTCTGAAATTCTTCACCTAACCCCACCCCTCCATATAAACGTAAGATGTTTGACATGTGAGTGAGTGCCCGTTTATTGTTTTATGCAAAACCAGTTGTTATCCATCTTTGTTTCGATAAACCTAGGCGTGGGTCATTAAGCAAGTAAGAAAGTGAATGATTTTTTCTAGTTTAACTACAGAACATTGCTTTTCAGTCGTTAATAGACAGTGTTCTATAATTCTATCACACCAAGTAAGCTGATATTATGCTAAGTGTGTGTCAGCCAATCAGCTTAGAGCATTTCAGTGTGTTTTTAATTAGCGATGCGACTGATGACTGCCTCTTCTTTGTTTGACAGAACTTTGTACTATACATGTATCTCCTTGTGTTACTTCCCAGCTTCCCACTGAAGCAATAACTATCAGTGAATTTTTGGATACTCTAAGATATAAGTGCAAAAAATATATCTTTGGAAAATTTATATGTTTTGCCATGCATTGATTTTCCTGTAAGTGAAGGGTAATAAATGCTCATTTTAACATTCATATGTGTTTGTAAATAATATATATGCTTTAAATCATATATTTATTTTTTTAAATTATATAATTCAACTGATCTGCTCTGGTTACGTTCCCAGCTCCGGTTACGTTCCTAAGTAATATTTTTAAAACTTTTTTTTTAATTAAACAAATCAGAGTCGTGTGAATCAGAAATAACATAATTATTCAATAGTATAAGGACTATTCTGTACTTTTTTCAAAAGTCTATACTTAAATGTTGTAAAAAGTTATAATCGAAAAACCATCTTTCGGAGTAAAGTCCGACTGCGCCGATTTCAATAACTTCGTACTTGATCAGAACTGGGTTCCAACAAAATTCCTACAAACTTATGAGTGAAATAGCCATTGCATGGAATACTTACTTTTGTCAAAATCAAAGTAGAACTCTAGTTAAAAAATATATTGTGCTAAATTATTGCCATTTCTTAGTAAAATGTCGTTCTCCGGTACGTTCCCAAAATTATTCGATGGTACCCCGTGTGAACGTATTTTTGATAATTTATTGTAAGCTCTGATGTCGCCCGATTGAGCTCTTTTGGTGAAGTATCGAGTTTTTATCAATCCATCGGAAATAGGGTACTATGGCGATCAAAAGTAAGTCTTTATTTTGCGAAAGAACACTCGAAAAGTAGGCATAGAGTCGCTTTGAGTTTTATATTTGAACAGATTGACATATCAACCAATTTTGATATATGATTTAATAATGAAAGTAAAACATAGAGCTGGTTTTTGCTTTCAAATATTTTACAAGATTGATCTATCTCTCGTTGCCTCCTTGATTCGATAATGGGATAGTTCAGATCCGATATTTGCCTGGAATTATTTCTATTTGATTTAAGGCAGTAGGAGTGTTTATCTCAAGTGCCTCGGTGATATCAATTTCCTAAAAATCATTAAGAAAACTATCTATGGCATAAAACAAATTGAATTAGTTATTTACAAATCGGTGTTTTACATACAGAGCTGACGTCACGCGGGAAGGTCCAAATTTCGGATCATATTCTTCCCATCTTAAGTGACGAAACCAGTAATATTTCTTGGATACTGACCTTATCTTGGTATGCCGTCTTCTTTATCTAAAGAGAGATAAATGGGTTATTTAGCAAGGTACATTCAATTTCTGGGAGAATAATACCATTCTGACCTCGGTTATCAGTTTAATTTCTAATAAATATGATTTACTGATATAATACTTTTAGTACTCTTGTCCTGCTACTCTATTTAGGAATGTATAACATGCTGGCAAGGTCATCATGATATTTTCTCCTAGATAAACACACAGGGTATACAATAGGGAGTTTAAGCTTGCATATAAAATCGAAACGCCAACCTGTACGTATGACCAATCGCCCATACAAAAGCATCGCTTTAACAACTTCTGTCCACGTTTAGGTTGTGAACAACATTGCTTGCTTAAACTCCCTAATAAGGCTAGCACGTAACGGAACTGACTTCGGAACAGGTGAACACCACAATGTCTATTTTCATATTAATCATACATTTATATTGATTGTTTTTGTTTTTGCTATAGCGAGCAGGAAAATGTTCTTTTCGGAAAATGATTTCACAAATTTTTGGAAGACAAGTGGGCTGTTCCGAAGGCAAACCCGAGGCGATCCGGACAATAATTCCGCTTCGTGTCAGCCCTAGGTAACAGTACGATGAACAGTTAGATTAGAGATAACTTATTACCAATAACTGAGATCAAATAAGTTTAATATTAATAATCTTGCATGCACATTTTTCTGATTGTAACATAATCAGCGATGCCACTTTCTTTAATGTTAGAACAACGTTAATTTATTTTTTAAATCATGATGTCACAATCTCAAAAGTTAAGAAAAAATTCAAGAAATATACCCTAGGGTGATCCAAGTACGTTTATCTGTAAAAACCTCATACTAATTAAAGGGACAATCAGAAATGTAAAGAGTGAAAAAATTATAAGACTTTCTTAACCGTCTCATACATATTCCAAAACTATTTCAGAAAATTGTACCTAAAGTGAAAAAATGTGTAAATTTTCCCAAATGATAAATGTGGATATCAAAATTTACAGTAAAGTGAACACACGTATATAAAAATTGTTTGAGCATAAATGATTTTTTGCCAATAAAACAGAACGTTCACTTCAAAAAACCTGATTCCAACGCGCTTATCGCAGTGATATATGAAGGGACGAAATCGTTAAGACATTTCTATTATTAATTCCGATCCACTTTCATCTTAAGTTAATAAGGGCACTTAAATTTCATGCTACTACAGTTCTAGCTAGTTACCTTATCAGACGTTTTCACGTTGACATAAGGTTTACTTGAACAACTTTATTATGTATATACACCCCCTCCATAAGTTTAGCAACTGGAACTTTTCATTGGAGCATTTCAACGCCTTTGGAAAATAACTCGATTTTTTCGATTCGCTAATTATAAACAGGCTTCGACGGGTGATCCTAAATGTAACTTCCGGTTGCCAAATTTATGGAGGGGAGTGTATGTACAACAGAAAGCTGTAACCCAGGCTAATAACAAGTTTAAAATGTCACCTTGTGTATTAAATTGTTTATAATGTATATACTATTATGTGTGCTGTATGTGGCACATTCATAAACACTGAAGAAATGGTTTTACACAAGGGACGTAATTCATAAAATAATTTATAGCTTCATATTGGGGTCTCAGACAGGGAAGGGTGAATCGTGTGGTACGTACATTCACTATGAAGAGATACCATTTGATTTGTATAGTTTGTTACGTGCGTTTATTCCCAATGGAGGTAAAGCAATGCATAATTATGTAAAGTAACTGTATCAATCAATTGCAGAATCAGATCAAGCAGGCAATACTTCAAAGTAATTGTTTTAATTTTAAAGCATGTTCGACTCGTATCATTCCTCGTCGTTTGTATTTTATAAAATTGCTCAAAAGTTCAGTCATTGGATTCTGTTCATTTATGCTCATGTGCTTATGGGCGTACCCAGAGGGGGGATTGGGTGCGACCACATCCCTTTTTAAGCCAATTTTACTTTTCCCCGGGGATTTTGTTCACAGTATTGACTCGGATGAAACAAGAACTATGTGCTCTGGCGAAAGTGATGATTTTTTGATTTTTTGAAAAATTCCGGGACGCCCCTGTTTATGTGATATCCACTTTTATTATTTGGAAGATTTTACCCTTTTTGCACTTCTAAAAAATAACTGCACAATTGATGAGCTATGAATATTTTAGGAGATATGTTCGAAAATCTAAATGGTACAGAATTTTTTTTGTGGTATCGGAGTCACATTTGTACACGTTGTTGGACTTTTTTCACCAATTTTATATTCGACTCTACTGTCAATATTTGATATACAGTCTTTCCATGTAATGAACGTGTATTTTCTGTTAACGTTGTTAAAAGTTCCTTATTTATCAATATACCTGTTTCGCTTTATGGTCGTTAGTACTTCTTCATCATACCCCCTTCCAATATTCAAGCAATTCGTTCAGTGTAATCCTGCAATCTTTACTTTACCAGGCAGTTGGAAATACCGGGCCCCAGAACTCATCGATGATTCTATCGCAATGTTAACACGAACCTCTAGAGGTTCATACTCACTTTACACATATCGATGGGTCCATCTATGAATTCTGGGACATATCCCCTCTTCCTTACCCGTTGTAAGGAACACACTGAACGAAATGCTACGGAGATTGAAATTCGACCAGAAAATAATGAAACATACGCCAAACAACTGGGTAATATCAATCCTTAATTAATAAAATTACATTATCTATCCTGTACCATTGATTAAATGTCTTCTAAATCTGAAGGTATATATATAAATCACTAAAATTACCGTAAAACGAACGCAACTGATCAGATATCGAGCCCAAATCATGCAGCAAACAGGGTGACCCCAAAAATGGAAACCCCCAATTTTGGAATAATTTTCCTATGCCTGGACAGAAGACGTCATTTCTTTAAATCTCAAAGTCGTAGATGCAATATAATATATGCCATTGTTTACTACATTAAATACCATATGTGAACGAAAAGCTAGAATTCAAGAAAATTCAACCAAAGAAACCTGTTTTATACATTTCCTGAACGTTTGATCAACGCCTTCCCATATTGAAAATTTGTTTCTAATGATTGGACATATGATCTCGTGTTTCTTTTGAATACTGTGTTTTTAATAAGTCGTAGTCTTCTTCACAAACCACTTCGGATTAGTTATCAAAAAATATGAAATTTCGAAAATGCGACAAATATATGTTTTAATAAGATAGGCTAACAATATTTCTTCATTTTGAAAGGTAATCATATTTTGAAATGACGTACAAGACAAAACGAATGATAGATTTTGAGAAATTAACGTGATCTAAGTGATCTCACTTCGTAACCTTAGGTCATTTTTTGTATTAGAAATGCTACAAAATCTAATGTTTGCATGAAAATGAAAGAAACAAACTTAATAATGCTTATATTTTACTTGATCTACTTTGTAGAAAATAATGTCCAACAACAAGTCATGACATATGAAGATAAACAACATTTTCAAATTTTGCAGAGGACTGCATTTAAATGCACATTGAAGCCCAGTAGCTAGTAGTATTTGCTACATTAAATATCATATATATACTCTTGAAACTTAAATTGTACAACGACCATCATTTTATTGAAATAATAACACGTGAGCAATGTGAGTTCTTTAAGTCATTTAAATTGCAGAAAGAATAAAATTACCGAGGTTGGAAATGATTCAGAAAAATAGAAAATATGTCAATATAGTGCGAAAACGTGCAGGAATTTATAAAAAATCAATTATATGATTCTGCACTTTCGCTCCTGGAGACTTTCGCCAGCGCTTCATAAATACGGAATCCTGGGAGCATATCTACATGTAAAGCTATCTACATCATACACTCACTAATTATAAAAAAGAGCTAAGAACTAAATTGCACTAATCCCCAACACCATTAAGCTGTCCAATTAACACTCCGAATTCACCAATGCATGATTTAAGAGATTTCACAATTCATAGGATGGAATATACTAACAAAGGGTTTAAAATAATTTGCCTCGATTAAGCGATTGTCTACCTTGCTTCAAGCTAAAGCAAATTAATAGTTATCTCAATCCTAATACATTGCCGATAATATACTACCCAATAACACACGTAACTACAGCTAGATCATAATTTAATGGACAATAAATCTAATCACGGTTCCTCCTTTAATCTACATATACAGGGTGACCACTAGCCTTGCCCAAGTCGGTATTTTTTACTTATCTGATCTGTCATAATAGAAATCAAGATAAGTAAAAGAGATCGGACTTGGGCAAGACTAGGTGACCCCAAAATAATTTCCTTCGATCGGAACATGCGCGTGCATGGAACCTATATACGTACACGTGCATCGAACCTATAGACGTGCAAATATGTGCAAGATACTGTGTTACGTGCAATAAATATGTGCTTCATAGATAAAGATAATTTGATTAAATTTGAAAAATATTTACATGGCATGATAAAATGAACATTCTTATGATATGATCTATTTAATATACATTAAAGGTGAAAGATGTTCACATTATAATGCCGTTATGAAGTTGTGTGTCGTAAAATAATGTAAAGTTAGTGTCGTAAATCTTTCGGTTACTTTACCTGTCTCTTTACAGCGAAGTAAATCCTTCCATATACTATTGCCATAAATATAGATGGCGTCAATATCGTTGAGATAAAGATAAACACGAGATAATGCATATCCATAACTTCCATGAAGAAGCATCTAGGGTGGGGAGGGGGGCCGAGATTCCAGCCAAATACGGGTAGGAGTCCTATAAATACTGCTGCTATCCATGACAGGGTAATGACGATAATCGCACTTTTGTGTGTCATGTGACTACTATATGTCAATGGATATATTATCGCCCAGTAACGGTCAATTGTCACAGCTACCAATGATGCGATTGAACTTGTACACAGGGACATAAGCAAAGAGTTCATAAACAGACACCCCTCTATATTTTTGGGCAATCCAACATGGGTTGCTATGGCAAATGGGACGCCAAAACACCCAACAGCTAAATCTGCTGTTGCCAAGGATATGACGTAATAGTTAGTTACCGTTCGGAGATTCCTATATTTGGTAAACACTATTATGACTAATAGATTACCAATAATTGCAATAATTCCTATAAATATCTCACAAAGTGTGTATGCTAAATCCAATGGCAACGGTATTGGTATTTCCGGTGGATATGTGGTTCCACCTGTGAATGTCACGTGACTTTCATTTAATGTTGCATTATCAGATACAATCATTGGGTTATCTGTAAAGTGACTTTTAGCATCAACAATAAGTAGATCAGTTGATGCATCCATTGCGAAACAGTCCTCTCTGTTGTTCTATTACCAATAAAAATAAAAAGATGAATCAGCTCACGTGGACACCCTGTATTTTCCTGTCTTTTCAATTCGCGTGTTCTCTATTAATACATTTTAATGAGTAGTAATCTAACAGTTACTTTAAGTACTCCTCGATGTCTGATTTATAATTTGAACACGGGTTGCGTCTGACAAAGGCCATCAATTTTCAGCCTCAATTGGTTTTATAATGTAATCAAAGATCAAAGTGTCATAACTCAAAAATTACCTCGTTGTAATAACTTGTTTAATATCCATTAAGCGTGGATTCAAGTGTATACAGGCAATGTAGAGTTATTTGCTTCTCTTTTATGTCATTTCATCTACTCGTTTTGAGCGACTATTTTTGCAAAGCAATTTGGTAGGATCAACATCACAAATTTCCCTTGACGTCATTGATACTTTTACTATAGTTGCTTACATAATTGTATTAACCCAGTGAAGCCTATGGATTGTAGACACATCCCTAGGTTGGGTTAAATTTCTATTTACACAGACATAGGTCGTTATATCGTAGTTAATCGCTGGTTAACTAGGGGATAATAACTGTTTGTTTTTTGTTTCTTATCTTCTCTGGGCGCCTGTTTAATGTTGTTGAAATATACGACGCTAATCAGCAGGGACGCGGAATCGGCAACACGAGATTCATCAGTGGCGAAGTATACTACTATAGTACATTGATTTTGACGGCTAAACACCTCAATGATAATATTACATAGTCGTAATATATATTTTTACACACTCCAATAGTTTGATTGTGTCTTAAAAGTGAGCTTCATCTACCATGCTACTCTTTGCCACACGGAAATATCCGTTACCATGTTAGTGTTAATGAATCTACAAAAGCTGGTAAAAACAGTTATAGACTGTTGATAACTTGACTTCGTTATTACTCTCACGACGATCTAAAGCTAGGTTCTAACAGTACTATCCACGGAATATTAAGTCACTGTCGTTCGGTATTTTAGTGTATCAGACAATACAAAACGAAGCAAAAAGTACATCCTCTGGTTGTGGCTAGTACATGGTCCACATGTCAATGTGTGCGTTCTTTGCCGTAATATATACGTTCTTTGTAGTAATTTATACGTTTGTTACTTATTTCCTAAAGTTTTCAAAAAACGCTTCGGAATCATTAAGTCATGTACAACACGTTCTGCGCAGCAAACAGCAAGAGGTGTACGTCCACATGTTTACATTATAAAGCAATTTTTCGTCTTGAAATGGTTAGTATACACGTTTTAACACTCTCTTAGGCCTATTTCACTTTATTTATTCCAAATTATGTTTCTTCTTTGATAATCCAATATTAAGAGATAATCCAGATAATCCGTAGATAATCCGCAGGTTGTTACTAGATAGTTTCAGCATCGATCCATCCGTTTCCCTGCAATAAATATGAAAGTTAGTTAGAGAGCTCCAATAAATATTTGATATCACTTAGACCTACTGTACTTTAATCTACAGGAATGAGGTATTGTATTAGAGTATGAAATGTATCTTGGATGCCTGCAATCTGTTAGGATACATTGACGTGCATGTGAAAACGTCCTTTCTACTACAATTTTTGTTTTGACAACTCCAATCGAGTGAAACGCACCAATGGTTTAGTACTTTTACTTCATTGAGGAAGTATCGCTTTTTTGAAAGCAAATCGCCTACCAAAGCAATCACTGCACAGTAATTTCATTCCTCACTTCGTTGAATGCATTTCAAGTAGTACGAACAATCACCCAGCCATTTATACTAGCACACTAACCGAGAATTCCGAGGGCAAATTTTACCTATTGATACAGCTCACGAAGTTTCCGTAAAACGCTGTGACGTACAACTCACGTTGTAAATCCTTGAATCAACTACCACAGTTAATAACTATCCCGTTTCGCAGTACGGTCACCATCACTGGTGACCATCGTCCATAATGGTTTCGCGGCGTATCCTTTTCTATCGGGACAATCTGCATTAAGACCGACTTCGCGAATACCATGTAGAAGGTATGAACGTACGTACTATATGCATAACATATAGGGTAAGAGTCAAAAGGTCCTCGATGTGACTACTTGTAATCCTTCAAGTACCCAACATTGTAGATATGGTTGTCATTTTAAGGACTAAGTAAATAAAAATCAGTTTCACTCTCCAAAGTGCGCGCTCAAAGTGGCACTATGCTTAAGTGTTATTGATCTGACCATGCTCAACTATTATACGTTGACTGATTTTATTAAAGGAACTACATCGTGGTAAGCCACGCCCTCTCCATCTCTATTCTTCTGGAGATGCAACAGAGAGAGATGCTATGAGTATCAGAATGAAGGAACTATAATATATGGTAGAGAGGTAGGGGAGTTTAAAGTGTGTCCAGAAATCAGCGATAAAATGCTTTCCTTCCCCAAAGAACATCTGGCTGCGTTCGGATAACAATAAAATATTGGATCTAAGCAATCATTCTTTAAAGCATGCCAATGTTTTCTTTGTCACCCTTATCATCATATGAAAAATGAGGTAAGATATGTGGTCAAATATAGCAGTAACTAAAATTTGTAGATGAAGAAATGTCATAAGTAAAAAGAGGTCTACACTTTTCAACTATTTTGTCAAATAACCTGAAATTGTCCAAAGTAAAGTTAGATCTATTAGAATTTTCGACGTCATATATGAGTAAAACTTTCCTTTCAAAGAGCGCTCCTCAAGGACCATTAGAATCTGCAGAACTTTGAACATGCAGACAATTACAGAAATACGACGCACAACAACATGTTTCTCATATCTTTGATATTCAAATTCCCGCACGATGTGCTCGGCCTTTTGTCATATATCGCAGAAGTTGAAAAAACAATAGATTTCCTCTGCTATAAAGATTATAAAACCATTGTCAAAAGCGTTAATCTGTTTGTTTTTTTACTAAAGTCGTTCGATGTAAATTCACCGTCATTTTCTGTTTGATAGAAATATGATTGTTTGATATATATATTGGACACAATTTTTAAAAATTTTACCGAGGATGCTTTAAAGGCCCACTATACTTAATTTAGAAGAAAAAAGAATCACTGAAACATGTTACTCACACACTCGCTCAAATATGACAAAAAGTTTGATTTTCTTAATAGTGAACCAAGAAAAAATAACTCGCATAGAAAAAAGCATTTGCAGTTCAGAGATCATTGGATAAAAATGAATGTATCATGTAATACAAACAACCTCGCCATCTTTCAATGACCTTGATAAAAACTTGATACATACAGCTTGACAGATCGAAAGTATTTTTTTGATAATTTATTATAAGCTTTGATGTGGTTCGTTTGAGCTATTGTTGGTGTCAAATGAAAGATAACGGTTCTTATCAATACATTGGACGTTCAGATGTAAGTCTTTATTTTGCCCCAAAACGTTGAAAATACGCAAAGTGGGCCTTTAAGTTAAGACAATACAGGCGTTCGTGTTTAATATGCATTGTCAAACTAAAATCTTTGAGTTATCAACAAAGCACAGATTTAATTTAAGTGCCCTTAAAAGTGAAACACTTATCAGTAATGCTTGACAAATGAGGTAAAGAGTGCTAATTCTACTTGATATCGAAAACTTTTCACAAGATAAGGCATTCCCTCGACTTCTGGTCTTAACTGGAGAAATCATATTAATTTATTTATCACACTGAAGGTAATATAAGTTAAAATCGCCTGGAGAAAACACATTAATTTATTTATCACGATGAAGCCAGGATTATTAGGAAACAGGTTTTACCAGTGAAAACAAATAAGTGTTAAAAATTGACATTTTTGGTGTAATTGAACATAGCTGAAACTAAACCTGTGTTTGCTCATCATTTTATGTATTCTAAAATATAATGCCTTTATATGAACTACGTCAGCATACTTTTTTGATCGTTCCGATTGTAAGTAAAGTTGATATCTGGCTTCAAAATTGTGAATTTCGTGAAATTGTCAATGTAACAGGACAACACGCATTTGAAAACATGTCATATCTCAATAATAAATGGTCGCATCTTTTAATTTTGGTTATGCTGGAATAGAGAACATTCATTCAGAGTGTGATGAGAGCACTGTATTTGATCTCACCCTATTACCGATTATATAGACCAAATAAAGTAAATGTAAAATTTATTCTGTGAAAATCGACATGGTCATTTAAACACACCCACATGGCATTAGGGAAATCCGAGAAAAATAAGTTATATGTTGTTAGCAAGTCCTTGATTCAGTTTATCAGACCAGCATGTTCCAAATCGTGATAATAATTGTGATTGAATTATAATGAGCATTATCTGAACATTTCTGAAAATTCACCATTTTTCTTGTGAAAAACGACCAAGATGTAATTCACACATGGGCAGCATTCTAGTGTAAAGACGGACACTATTCAAGAAAACAATATATCCACTCTGTTTTAACGAAAACATTTTACGAAATAACCAGTACGACCCCATCTATGAGCGAATATGGTGTGAAACTGTGACAATCGACATGCGTGAAAATCGACATGGTTATACCATTGAACTCAAAGCAGTGAATTAGTAATTTCTATAAATCACAAATGGATTGATTTGATTTTATATGATTACCAATACACTGATAACACATACATAGCAGTTTTCCGATAATTACGCATAAAGATCAATTGATAGACAATGAAAAGATAACAGCTAAAGAGTTTTCTCTTTGTTCAGCGTACACTTTTCCTATTTATACATCTTTACAAAAATACGTTACATGCAAGCAGATGATAAGTTATTTGGAACTTCCATAAGCATAATTTACCGAAAGATTTTCACTACAAAAATCATTATGAAGACCATTATAGCCCAAAATGTGTCAACCTCTGTAAATAACGTTTCGTTCAGTGCATTCCCGGGGATTGCTGACTTCAATTATAAAGTCTATGAACGTTTGGGTTCAGTTTCCTTTTCAATGAATGCATCATTCCCAATGGTGAACAACATAAACAGCCATCTCTTATTTGTAATATGAAAGATTTTATAGCTTTTCAACGATGTTTATTTGGTTATCATTACTTTCTAATTTCATTATTACGATCTGATCTGCTAGATACATTACGATCTGATGTACAAGATTCGGAATGCCCTCGTCAAACGTAATTCGTTGCAAATCAATGTCCGAGGATAAAATAAATCAAAAAATCAAGGGATGAGGTGCGTAAGATTACGCTCCTCATAGAAAAATATCGCCAATCGAATTAACTAGCATTATAGAAACATAAAGCACAAGATGCGCATGCG